ATAATAAGGATTATAAGGAGGCTACTACCTCTACTACACCTAATTCCTCTATATTAGTTTTTATAAAAGGTGCCTTAGGCACACTAAGCAGCTCTATAATTACTAGCCTTATAATATAACTAAGTAAGGCTATTTTTACTACTATAAGTAATAAAGTTATTACCTTATTTAATATTATACTAGATTTAGGCTGCTTAAGCCTTATCTTTAACTTACTTTAACTCTTTATATTATATACTATTTATAATAACCTTTTTCTTTTTACTACTATAAATAAAAAGTAAGTATATCTAGAGGGATTTAGTACTATCTTCTTCTAAACTTAAGATCTAGCTAATTTATCTTAAATAATTAACTAGACTATTAAAGATATTAAGTATAGCCTTTATAGCCTAGCTAACCTTCTTAGCCTTAGTAAGCTTTATAAGGTAGGAATTAAGTATAACTACGTAACTACTAGTATTATTAATACTAAATCTAAGGCCTAATTAGCTACTATTAAATAGATTTCTAACGTCTATATACTTTACGTTATAGATAGGCTAACTATACCTATAGTAACTATCCTTACTTTATCTATAGTTAGAGGTAAGTACTAGCTAACCCTTAAGATAATACACTATTAACTTATTTACACCTATTTATTATAGGTTATTAAGGCCTACTGTTAAGTAGGTATATAATTTACCTAGGCTAAGATTAATACCTTTTACTATAAGGCCTGCTACCTAGCTAAATCTATAAAGCTTATTAGCTATAACACTTTACTACCTCTTACCCTAGTAGGTAAAGAGATTTATCTTAACCTTATTAAGATTAAACTGCTATTAAAGACTAGTATAAAATACGCCTTTTATTTTCTTAACTATTATAGTAGCTACTATTAGCTTTAACTTTTATAAGCTTATTACTATAGGGCTATACTTAATACTATTAAGAATTTTAATACTACTTTTACTAATATAACTAGCCTTACTATTAAGAGCTAGGTTTCTAATAATACGCCTAAGCTAAAAAAGGTGCTTTATAATCCCTACTTTATAGGCATAAGGTTTAACCTTATAATTATATATACCCTATTAATAAATAGGTTAATTAAGTAAGCTAGTTATATACTTATAGAGGCTGCCTATATATTACTTATTAATAACAGCCTACTAAAAAAGCTTTAGGATTATACCCTTAACACTATAGTATAAATCCTTAACCTTTTGCCTTAATCTACTAAGGGTAAAATAAGCCCCTATAAGATTATTACCTATAAGCTTAACCTTATTACTAATTATAAGCCTCCTTATATTAAACACCTTTACACCTTTAGCTATATAGTATATATATATAAAAAGGGTAGTAAGCGCCCCCTATGTTCTATAAAAATAAAGCTGTATATAATAAAGGGTTACCTTATTAAATATAGCTTTTTATATAGCTATATCTACTACGTCTATATCTTAAGTAAGAAGTAAGTTATTTACTATTATAACGTTTATTTCTATAAAAGGCCTAAAAAGACTATTTTTTACCCTATTAATAAAGTTACTATCCTAGTAGATACTAACTATAATATACTATTTAATAAGCCTAATCTAATAACCTAGTATCTAGCTTATATCTCTAACTTATATTAATTTATTACTAAAAAGTCTTATAACTAGTAAATTAACTAATCTAATAGTAGTAAGTTAAATAGTAAGCATATTAATAATAGCTACTATATAACACCTCCTCTAGAGGATTATTAACAGTAACTTATCTCTACTATACACCTTACTTAATAAACTAATAATATAGATACTACTAAAGATAAGTTTTATAATATAAAGTAACAGGAGGCTAAATTTCTAGCCCTTATTATAGAAGAAGATTAGCTAGACCCTATTACTAAGGCTGCTACTACTTTAGTTACTAAAGGGGGCTAACTACACTATACTAGCACTATAAAGCTACTAAGCTACTACTATAATACTACTAGTATCTAAAAGTATAATAAAAAAGCTTATCTTATTATAAATATTTAGGTTTATAATAACACCTATTATTACTTTATTAGCACACTTACTACTACTGCCTTATTATATATACTACTACCTAGATATAATATTCTATTTACTATTAAAAAGGCTAAAGAAGGCCTATACTAGTAACACTAGAAGCAGGCTTATAATACTAAGATCTAATAATTTACTAATAAGGAGGTCTATACCCTTATTAATCCTCCTTTTAATATAAAGATTCTTTTTAGTAAGTAGGTATTTAATATTAAAACTAATATAAAAAATAAGATTATTAGATATAAGGCCTAATAAGTAGTCTATAGTAACTATAAGTAAGGTAAATAGTCTTTATAAGAGGTATATATTACTATAGCTACTACTACTACTATATACCTCTTTTTTACTATTATTACCTTATATAGACTAGTATATAAAATATATAACTTTAATACTACCTTTCTTACTACCTTTATACTTAATAGCACTTACGTCTATATCTATTAACCTACTAGTTATACTATTAATAATAATAAGGTGTAGTTACTCTATAAGGCTCTTTATAGCCTTTATAAAGCACTACTATAGTAGTTTATACTTATTAAAGGTAAAATAGAGAAAATTAGCTTCTACCTAGTTAAGAGAGAAATTTACCTTTTTATTAATAAGGAGCTTAATACCTACACCTTAATATATATTAATAATAACGTAGTAGCTGCTACTAATAAGGAGACTACTAAAAAGGTACGTAATATACTTACTAAGGTCTACTTATTAAAGGACCTTAGTAAGGCTTCTTAGTTTCTTAGCTTCTAAATCTAGCGCTTTACTACTAGTAAGATCTTTATTAACTAATATAAGTATACTAATAGTATACTTTATTACTTTAGATATAGTAATCTTTAACTTATTAAGACTTTATTACTTACTAACTATATATTACTTACTATATAAGTAAAAAATAAGTGTTCTAAACCTAACTAATAAACCTATATTAAGCAGACTAGCTACCTTAACTAGTTAGCTACTAGTATACGCCTAGATATTACTTTTATAGTTAGTAAGCTCTCTTAGGCTAATACTAGCCTGTTATCTACCTATCTAGCTGCTATTAAGTATCTTTTTTACTATCTTAAAGACACTACCTATTATAGTATCTTATTTAGTAGACTTAACCCCTTTACTAATATTAGCCTCTATATAATAGTAAATAATTCTTTTACTAATAATTACTTATTATAGGTTTCTATAGGTAGTTATGTTATCTACTTTATAGGATTACTAATTACCTAGAAGTTAAAGAAGTAGACCTTTATTACTTTAAGCTTTATAAAGGTAGAGTTTATTAACCTTATACTTACTGCTATTACTATAAAGTAGATTTACTACTATACTAAGTAGCTCCTTAGCTAACTAATAAATACACTAACTATCCTCTTTACTAATAGTACTAATATAATAGTTAATATTATAAATTCCTTTAATAAGGTATATACCTAAAGTATTAATATCTAATATAAATAAATAATATAAGAGGTCTATACCTAAAAGAATATTACCCTCTAACTTATTAAGAGCACTAAGATAGCTACTAACAGTCTTACTAAACTACTAGTACTAACTAAACATAAAGACTTTATATAGTTACTAAGTATAGTAAATAGGTTAGATTAAAAAGCTATATAGGCTATTATAGAGGATATATATTACAGAGAATATATATTAGTAGATTAGTATTACATAGACTTTAGTATATAGATTAATTATTACTAGACTAATAAGATAATTACTAGCGTATTACTAAAGTTATTAAATACTTTAAAAACTCCTTAGATTTAGAGGATTTAAGATTAGGCTGTTATTTTGCCCTTATATATAATATTTATTAAGTTAGTAGAGCCTAAGGGGGAGTGTTATAAGGGGGCCTGTGTGCTAGGAGGTCACGTGACCTCCTGGGCCCCTCACCTTCATCCAGCCTCTGCCCATAGCCTCGAGAGGAGGATTTTCCTCCTTACCACCACACACCACTACAGATTAGCAATATCACTATTTGCCTCACTTTGTTGCTCTTGTGCTCCCACAGAACGAACCGCGACATCGTGATGCTTGTAGCCTTGGCCCGGCAAGCCGTTCCGGCTCAAGATGCCCCATCTATCTGGATGGTCTGCTGCGAAAGGCGCGAGCAGGACCTTGACGAGTCATCTTTGTTTTTTTCTTCTTCTCTTTCAATCCGCAAAACAGACAGACAGACAGACCGTCAGGAGTCATGGTTGGACGAATCGCAGCCGACCCCGCTCGATGTCAGGTAACATGTAAGTAACATGGCACCAACTACACTCTGTTCCCTGACTTGGGGAATTGTACGATATCTGGTCCCTCTATACCCCGCCCTTCCTCAAGCGTAGTAGGACTCCGTCGCGGAGACCGCAGAAAAGGGGTATCGTCGGTTAGGGTCATGACGTCCACCGCCGCTTCTGATTCCTTGTGTTGTCATGGTTTTGCTTATTCAACGACATATGGGGGGGGGGGGGCATGGTGGAAGACGGATAAAAAGCAAATAAGGGGAGCCTAACTCCTCACGGCAGCAGGCCAAATTGAAGACACCGTCTTCGAATCACCCGACGACGCTCGTCGAGCTCTCTACCGTATTCTCCTCATGGCACGAGGACCTCATATGAAAAGCATTCGCGTCAAGAGGATGGCGCCGAGAACACAATAATCCCTGTTGCGTGAATATCCCTGGCTGTGGACTCGTGCTCCTCATACCCGTTTCCTTGCCCATTCGTGAAAACAACACGGCTGATACCAGCGTTAAAAACATCAAACGAAAGAAGGAGAAATAAAAAAAAAACTCCATGCTACCACCCAGCATACATGCTTTATATACCACCTCCGATGCCCATCCAACCAGCCGCGCCATGTACCCAGACATCCCATTCCCTCCCCTCCCACATACTTGAAGGAGGGGGATACAAAGAGTTCATCACGTTCGTAGATAGCCATCCATTTTCAAACCCGCAGCTCGACGGCGATCTTGTCGTCCTTGGCCACGACCTCCTCCTCGGGCCCGCCCCGGCCCCGCCGGCGCAGCTCGCTCTCGGCGATGGACCGGATCAGCTGGATGGCGAGCTCGGTGCCGCGGGCGACGGACGCCTCGGATGCGTCCGAGGGGACGTGGAGGAACGTCACCCGGCGATGCTCCCGCGCCCGCCAGAGGTGCGCCAGGCTGGAGAAGTAGATGAAGTCGCACAGGTAGTGGCCCGCGTCTTCCGATATGCGCAGGTCGGAGCCCTCCTACTCTCCGTCGCCGCCGTCAGCAACTTTAATCGACACTCAAAAAGAAAAAAGAAAAAAAAATAGAAGAAGAAAACGTTGACAAATGTGACCGTCGTTTATACGCCAGGGGCAGAGCGGAAACTCACCGGGCTATGCGCCTTCCACCGCTCCAGAACCTCGGCCAGGTCCAGCCCCGTCTCGATCTCGGGCGGCATGCCGTGCCAGACCCAGTCATCGCCCTCCTCGCGCCGGCGCTCGTCGTCCTCGAGGCGGTGGCCGTCGACGTCCGGGAAGGTGTAGCCGTCGCGGTGGCCGCGGCGCTCGACCGAGTAGAACAGGCGCGGGCCGGCCATGCCGATGTGCACGACGGCGTCGACGCGCGGGTGCGTCGCCGGGTCCCAGAACTGGGGGACAAGGGCGCGGACGGTCATGTAGTTGACGCGGATGGCCTCGGGGTGGACGAGGATCCGGACGGGCGGGAGGGGCCGGGCGGCGGCGGAGGTGGACGAGAACGAGGCCGGGGGGTACTCTTTCGGGTTCCTGGCGCGGAGGGGCGGGAGGTAGGCGGGCAGGGAGCGGGCGATCTCCCAAGAGGGGTTGACGGGGTATTGGGCTTTGAACGGCTGGAGCGCAAACACGATCTGGTCAGTTCACGAAAGAGGACCCGAGTTTTTCAACAAATGCAATTAAAAGGGAAAAAAAGATAGATGAGAAAAGAAACACCAGTTAAGGGCTCTCGCGGAGGCGGAGCGGACGCCCGACGAGCGCTGCCGTTTGGGTTCGCGATGGGACAGAAAAGTCACCGTCGGGCATGGCGGGGTCGCGGAAGGAGGGGCAATCCCGTGGGATGACAGGCAGGCGCGATGGAGGGGGGGAAGGGGGAAAGGAGGTGTGGGGATCCAGGACGTACGCCGAAGCCGGTGACGAGCACCGTGAACTCGTCTTCCGAGTCAATCTGGGACCCCATCGTGAAGTCCGTTTCTCTTTCTTCCCTTCTTCTGTGGGATAAGAATACAGGTTGAGAGGGTGAGAAATGGGGAAGGGAGGAGGAAGTTGCGGTTTGTCCAGAAAGCCCACTGCAATCCCTCCTGAAAGCAACAGCGCGCGGGGGGCCATGATAAGTCTGTTGCTTTTGTAGGTACCTGTGCGTGTAAGAGATGCACCTTCCTGCGGGCGATGTCCGGGGGTCTCGCCTGTCTGCATCCGCGCGATGGGAGGGGGGATGGCTACTGTGGGGTCACGACGCTAATCGACACACTACAGCAGCAGTACCAGCAGCAGGCCAAAGGGGAAGGACGCTACGAGCAGTAGTGTGGGGCACTTGAGTTGGGAGAGAGAGATCCGGAGCGGGCGAGACCACGGCTTTGGGGGGGGGGGGGGGGACTTTGCTTTTTCCAGACGACATGTCGACCCTGCACCAACTCAGGCCGTCGCTCACGCCGGCTAACCACCTCGCTGATCCTCGTCTTGTATGTAAATCCCTCGCATGAGGACCAAAAGCCGATGGAGAGGAGCGTCCGGGTCAATTGTGTATGGGAAACATGATAAGACATGCACGAGGCGGCCGCCGTACAGAAAACGTGACCAGGCATTGATCGGGGGTTGGGGTGCAAGGGGTGGGGCGAAGGGGTCTAACGCGAGATCGCAGCAAGCCGGGCGGCATGTCGTCGAGCGACTGCCACTGGCCAGTAAGGTCACCAGATGAGGACTGACTCGTCTTTTGCGCCTCCAAAGTGCAAGAAAAGAAAGCGAAGGGGAAGAAGGAAAAATAGCAAGAAAGACTATTCTAGGCCGATGCGGGGGGGGGGTCTGTGTGTGTGTGCTGCTGTGCCGAGACGCAAGGCGCGGAGGCTGGCGCAACATTGTACATGATTCGCGGTGACACGACATACCTAGGCTGCAAACTTAGCGGTGGAGGTGGTTGGAAGGAGATCGCGCCCAGTAAACCATCTGTAAAGGCCTGGTGTCGTATAGAAGAATCACAAAAACATGGAGCGAACAGAACTTTGGCGAGTCACTGCTGAATCATGTCACCACCGTTCGTGTGTCTACTTCTCGGGCATCTGTTGTCTTCCAGAGTTGCTAGAAAATGCTTTACCAGTCCGTCTATTGACGCCGTCGCATCTAATATCTAATGCTGTTTGTGCGTAGTGCACCGCTCCGTGGTGCGGGTATCAACAAAAACTTCATGTCCAGCCTCGGCTGATCCTCTCATAGAAAATCCTTGTACAACCCTCAAAAAAAAATAAAAAAATGAAAGAGCCCTCAACTAGACCCTGGCAGCGGTTCCTCGAGAATCACCAACCCGCCAGTATCATCGTAACCCACCCGCCCTTCGTTCGCAGCTCTTCGCATTTCGTCCCGAAGAACCTTCTTTTCGCCCGTTACGGGATCCCATTCCCAGCCTTCGCGCATCCACATCCACCGTAGACACGCCCGGAGCTCCTTGTCGTCCGGTCGTACTCTCATCCACTCGGGCTGGAAGTTGGGGGCGGCGCCTTTACCGTTCCAGTCCTCGGCCCGCCCCAAGAGTTCGTCACGGCAGAAGATGCGCCAGCTGTCGAGCGTGTATTTGCCTTGCGTAAAGTGGCCAATCTCCCACGCCTCGCCAGCTTCTCCGCTGCGTTCGGCAGTGAGCCCGAGAGAAACCTCATCAACACCGGGCCTCAGTGTTTCTAGTTCCGCCTCTCTTTTGTCGTAATTCTTCACTCTATAAACGGTGCCTGCTATCGGTGGCTTCCCAAGCCACAATCGGGCGTATCGCTGTATCGCCGCTGTTCGCACAATCGAAAGACCCAAGTGGCGGATCATGCTCACGACCGTAGTAGTCGCCTCTGCGTCAGCCAAAGCGGTTGGTGTTGGAAAGCGCTCCTTGACCTTGTAAACCGCAGGGATTGCCAGCGTCCCGGCTGTCTTGACAAGGAAAGTCACAACCACAAGCAGCCAAAAAGGTTCATGAGCAAACTCTTCCTGAATCAGGCCAAAGCGCGGGGCTGACAGGGGCGGGAACGCGATCGTGGATACAAGACCACCCACGCGTTTTGATCGGGGCGACGGCTTTGATTGCGGCTGGCCGAAGAATGGTGACTTGACGCCCATCTTCCGTCTCGGCGAGGGCTCCGGCGGAGCTACTTCTCCGACTTGACCCGTCTCAGCTCCTCGGGGGACAATAATTCGGACGAGTTCGTCGGCGATGGGCTGTTGCACGGGGATGGCCAGGATGGCCTCTCCGCCCGAAGACCCCCGGCTGTCTGCGGGCCGCTGGCTTTTAAAGCGCTCGAGTCATCGTCATTGGTTTTGCTAGCTGCAGCGCCAGCCATTTGGGTCTTGACGTCGTTGGCACGCAGTGTGCCTCGAACACTGGTGGTGCCTTCCTTGATAGCTTCATTTTCTTGCGATTGCTTGCGGGGCGTAGGATTGGGCGTGGCGATGCCGTTGCGAATGAGTGTTGGGATGACGATCTGGGTCGTGTCATCAGGCGATGGAGTAGCTGTTTGCTGTTCGGGGCTGTCGGTGCGTGGCAATTGCTCATCGGCGAAATAGTGAGACATGGATGGCTTGGGAGCGGCTCTGGGCCGCTTGGCTCGGTGTGTCGGCTCGGTGTCGTTGTCATCGTCATCTTCGTCATCCTCCCGTCCGCGCTTGGGAACAGCGACCTCTCGCTTGACAGCTCGTTCCCTTTTAATGGTGGCGGGCTGAGACGGACACGGAGGCTGGGGCTCGACAGCGTGGCTTGGTCGATGAACACGCAGCAGTGCAGTCAGGTTCTTGATGGACTGGTCAGTGGCCGCCCAACCCTGGCGCAGCTTCGCCGCGGCTAGCGTGGCTTCTTTGACTCGAGGGATGTAAGCTAGAATATCTCGTGCATCAAGCGGCGAGCGAGCAAGGTCCCTGTCCTTCATTGCGGCCGCACTCTCCAGCATCAGGTTCCAGTCCTCGTATCCACTGAGGAGGCCGAGGTCGTAGATGGCTAGCTTCTCGTCCAACGGTGTGCCGGGAGCACGAAGGACGCTGAGGAGGAAGGGCTTGTCGTCGTCGGAAACGTCGAAACCAACGAAGATGTCGTCAGCTGGCGCCATTGCTAATGGTGTGTGACGATGTGAGTGAAATAACGGAGCGACTATTGCGGATATCGTGGAATCGGACGTGATGAGGCGGTAATGGACCGGTGATGATTGATAGCTAAAGTGATGGCTTCTTCGAAGGGGTTGGGTGATGAAATGAGCAGGGACGAAATGTTGTCAAGGGCGTAGAAAATTATTTCGGGAAAGGCAGTGAACGGAGATGGGTTTTGAGATCCAGGGCAGTGAGCGTTGAGTGAGAGGCACCCGAGGTTGACTGACTGAGGAGGCTTCAACGGAACCAGGGAAATGGCAGGTGGGATTTCGTCAATTGGCTACGAGCCTGCCATGGCAGGCGTGGAAAGCAACCCATTGTGCTTCGGGGGGGCGTTCAATAGCATTCAGTTCCAGCGTCAAAGACACTGGAAAAATTGACGCAGGGGAGGTTTCGAACAACCAAGGCAAGGCAGGTGCGTAAACGGGTAAGGGGGAGTTAATCTGCCTCCAGCAACGACAACGGTGCTTTTGGTGAGGTCGGTTGTCGTCAGGTCAGTGTTCTGGGAGCGACGTTTTCCGGCTCAGCACAACAAAAACCTGCTGGTGTGGTTGTTTAGCCTCATGCGGATCCCCTAGCTTAGGTACCTCTTCTCCCAGCGTCATCGGCCCAGCCACACACATACATAAACTACACATAGCCCGCGGATGGGCCTAGCTCTCTTGCCTGGCTTTGACTGCGAATCTGGGGAAAATAGCAACTGGCTGCGGTCCCAGGGCTGAAATGAAACACCCGGCTGGCTGTTGAAAGAGACGGAAGGACAAAACCGGCGGCCACTTTGCTTTGTCGAAGCCATGGTCGTGTGTGGCTTACGAGCTCGCGTGTACTGGTGTCAGTTGGTAGGTATTTAGGTATCCGTATTTATCGGCGATCAGGATCAACAGGGGAATCAAAATATGAGGAGACCTCCTCCTGCCTGGCCTGTCACCGTTGCGGACCGACTCGCTCTGAATGATGTGCCAGGTCGGCCCAACTTGTTGGAGATGCCCTGTCTTTTATCCCAAGTGCCAGCAGCCAAGACACCTAGGACTCGCTAGCAGCCTACAATCCGTCCGTTCCCAACTTCTAGGTTACCTTCTCGAACTGTTGCTGTTCAGGGGTGCCTCGCCATAGCCTCCCCCTCCCTTTCCCCAGATTATGCGATAGGGGAGATAATCTGGTTGGCAGGCTGCTATCGCGTTGATCAAGTTACGCAGTCTTGGAGCTGGTCTTGTGACTTGCCCGGAGGTCCACTTCTCACCATCGACACACTGAACCCGAGCGAACCGGATATGCATAATGGGATGTAATCATGTAATCCTCAGGAACCACTGCATGAGGAGTTAGTCAGTAGTTCAGCTCGAGCGTGTGCCAACCCAGATGTCGCAATGATTACAGAGCAAAGCAACTATGAGTTTGAGTCTGTTTTGAGGCACCGACCAGTTACCATCGGGTGCAACAAACAATACAGAGCGTGCTGGTCCATGCAATGGTACCTGAAATCGGCAAGTCCAATCGAGGCCGCCAAGACCATCCCATCGCCCGGAATGCTGCTAGAAGCGCAATCCGGCACCAGCTACCCGTGAACCTCCCGCACCCCCGCGAATGACATTCTTTTCCTTTGGGTTGCCCGGCATGTACATGCAATTAGGCCTTATTCCCGTCGCTGTCGGCCGGTTTCCCTTGATCGCATGAGTAGGTAGGCAGAATGCGGCAGTGGCAGAAACCAGGAAAGTCTATCCGGGCAAGCGTGTTGTGTTGTTTTATGTACACTAGGTAGTGAGCGGAGACCGAGATAGGCGTTCGGTGCTTGCTGCTGCGGGTATGTGCCACGTCTGAGGAAAGCCGAAGCGTGTACGTACCTTCCCTGTGCAACTAACTGCCTTGCCTATCTCGACGCATGATGAGTGGCCCATCGCGTGATGAACTGTGGGGCTCACCAAGTCACGTGGAAGATTTCGCCCAATCCTTGCCTCCAGCCAACCCGTCGCCTCATTTACTGCCTACTCCCCATTTTCGCCGTTCCTAGAACTTCCAGATCCTGTCTTAACTTCCGCCCATCCCCCATCATCCAGCGCGTCCTTGTCATTTCTTCCGAGTGTTCACCAACCCGAATCGATCACTCTCAGCGTCAATCGAGCATCGAGAGATGAGTAGTCGCGGCGGTAAACTAGCCCCAGAAGTCAATAGGTGAGTCCGAATTCTTCTTCAATGCCTAGCCTGCCTCTGTATATCTCTGCATCTTTCCCCTGCCTTGCACACACGACCACCCGGGATCCGGCCAACGTCACCCTACGGCCGCCGCCGTACACGCCCGGCCCTACCCCTTTCATCGACACTCCTCGGGGTCTCTATCGATACCACTTCCGTTGCAATGCTTGATGATGGAACATGGCTGACTGGTTGTCGCACAGAGCTCTGTTCGTGAAGAACTTGAGGTATACCTTGCCTGCCCTCGATATCGACGTCACGACGCTTGGCACCGGCAACTGACATGATGACAGTTACAACGTAACTCCAGAGGAGTTGTTCGACCTGTTCGGAAAATTCGGCCCGATACGGTACGCACCATCCCGTCCATGACTGGCACTCGACCTCGACATCAGTGACTAACCTCTGCTACAGACAGGTCCGTCAGGGCATTGCTAGCGGTACCAAGGGTACCGCATTCGTTGTCTATGAAGACGTAATGGATGCAAAGCAAGCTTGCGACAAGCTCAACGGTTTCAACTTCCAGAACCGTTACCTCATTGGTATGTCGACGCCGACCCACCCCCTCCACGACAGGGATGAATGCTAACATGCGCAGTTCTCTACCACCAGCCAGAGAAGATGCTCAAGTCAAAAGAGGACCTCGAGGCCCGCCGGGCCAGTTTAGCGCAGCTCAAGAAACAGCACGGTATCGATTGACAATCCGACGGGTCTGCGGCACGCCTCCAGACATCTTCCCCGTCTGCAGGCCCGTCTATGTCTTCGCTTAAATCGAGCGCTTCTCCGGATCAGAAGACGATCCTAAGAAAGGGCAAGCCGACCATCACCGGGCACGCACGCAGAGTCGGTGTACGATTCGCTGACGGAGTGCGGCCCAACTCGCTCCAGGCCCAGACTTGCGCTTGATACCGCGGCGTTGTTATGAAAACTCATGACCCGCCAAAAGTCAAGTTTCGTTCTGGTCGGGGTCCTTACGGTGCAGAGACACGCGCAACTTCTTTCGTTCGCTGGTTTTGGCTTAAAAATGCCCGAAAACTCACTAGACCTCTCCTGGAGAGTATCATGACTTGATATGAATCTTGCGCGATGGAAGGGGAGCCATTAGGGATTAGGAAACCGGGTTGAGCCGTCCGGGGACACTGATGCCATCTTCAGTCTTGGCGGTGTTTGTATCATTTACTTTTTTCTTTGTTGCTGAATCTGGGAAAGGGAGGGGGCGTATCACCTTTGCTTGTGGATTACCTTCCTTCGACACTCTTCACTGCAAGCCACTATCATCATCAGAGAATGCATGACAAACCGAGGCCTTGTCCTCGTATTCCCCTGCTGCTGAACCTTGGCCCGCCTTGTCGATATGAGGCAACATTGCATGTTAACATGTCACAGTAAAATTGTTGAGTTACACACATAGGTGTTCGTCATCACGTCTGAGTGCCGTCTCATGTCATCATGATCCATTCCATGGATTGCCGCATTTGCTCACCAAGCGCATCTGTGCAAAGAAGCATATGTGCGGTATGACCTTTTTTTCTCTCTTCCGGTTCTGGCCTTGCCGTTCGGTTGAATGAGCTGCGTAGTCACCGAGAGTGTGATTGTGTTTGCCTTTACAAAATCCCGCCTGATACTACTACACTCGGGACGTTTTAACGTTTACCGTCCGTCGGCCGATGTCAACGGAGACGGCCAGAGTTGTGGATGTGAAACGTCTCACAATACAACGACGCCTGGCGCCCATACTCAGGTGGTCCTCATGAAAAAAAAAAAAAAGAGAGAGAGAGAGACTGCCATAGTGAAGCCGGCCAACCGCGCGCCATCAAACGCGACCGGGCACGGTCCCGCGTTGAGGTCGGGAAAAGGGCCTGATGGCACAGGTGCCCCCATCAGGGCGACAAGGAGCTGAAGGGGAGGCGCTGGGCGAGTGTCATCGTGTGGAAGGGAGGCGGAGAGGGAGTGTGAGTGTGAGGCGCGTCGGGGGCCGGTGAAGATGGCTTTGCCCGGGTGCCGTTGGGCCCGTTGCTGCCACGGGGAGGGGGGGAGTAAACGGGCCTAAACGGTACGATGGGTGTGTGTGTGTGTGTGTGTGTTTGTCTTGGTAGGTGACTGTAGTGCCCTTTCGGGGTCCGGACTCGGTTCCGAACGCGGAACCGGGCGCCGGAAGGACTGCGAGCTCGTGGGGGAGGAGGAGGAGGTGGAGGAGGAGGAGGAGGGGGGAGCCGGCCGGCAGAGTTCCCCGGCCGGGTTCGGTTGCACAGGCCGAAGAGAGGGGGCGTGGCCGGGAAGGGATGATTCGAGGACGGGGCGCGCGTTTATGGCTGGCAGCATTGGAGTTTGGGCTGGGGTTTTTTTTCTTCTTATTCTTAATTCTAATTGTTTTCCAAACCTTCGTTGTCTTTCGCATGCGTACGTCTGGGAGAGAGAGCATTGTTCAGACACCTCCTACCTGTCTGAAGGGAGGGGGGGAGAACAAGCATGAAATCGGATGATCACCGTCCCGTGAATTCCTCGGTCTCCACCCCCCCCCCCCCCCCCCCCCCAAACCGTTGCTTATTTGTCTCTCTTCTTCCGTCCATCCGGAAAGATTGTAATGGAGGGGGAGGCGCCTGGTGTTGGAAATCCAGTCAGCGCAGAAACATACGCTCACCCCCTTTCTGAAGTCTTTCCTTTTCGAGTCCAGTGTCTCCCCCCCCCCCCCCCCCCCCTATCCAGCCTTTCCTCATCAACACACCCACCACCTTCATCACCGCTGCCCCCCACACCGTCGATTTCTCGGCCAACACCCCTCGGCAGCCCCTCCGGCAGCCTCGTCCACCATTTCCAGCTTGTTTGGTGAGTTCGACATGCTTCTTCCCCGCCAAACAGGCTTCCCAGGAACGCATGGCCCGCTGCGCTGTGCTCGTCTCCGCGCCCTTTGGCCTCATGGGTATCGTCCGTCAATCCGTGTGGGTCTTGGCATTGGAACAGCAGCGATGCGGGCGGCCAGCTTTTTTTTTATTTTTTTTTTTTTAAAAAAATCAAAAGAAAAAAAAGGAAAAAGAAGGGTAGCCATTCAGGACCATGGACACAAGGACGCCAGTCGGCGGGACCAGACCGTTCTTCATAGCCTGCAGATGGCGAGCCAAAGAGGCAAGTGAAGACGCGCGTGGTCCACAGAATCCTCCAATGGCAGGCGGCCTAATCAACCGTTCCCCTCACGGAGCGGGAGACGCCGCCTCGGATGCAGGTCGCCGTAAATAGGGGACCATTCTCAGTCGTCTTTGCCCGAGTGCCGAGGCTTGGCGAACACATATTCTCACTCGCAACCTCCAGGCTACTTGGTCGGCAAAAAACTGGCGGCACCTGGTCTCGGGAAACATATGTGAACTTGAATGCATCTTCTCCATTCCCAAGCGCGCAGCTTGAACTTTCAGTAATCCACTATAGAACCTTCTGCGTCTACCCGTCATATATGCTGCAATGTGACTCCCGAGAACCCCGCCCATACGCAACCGCAGAGCGGGACAAAAGGTGCAACCATTTTTTAATGCCGTTTGAAATGCCAAGAAACCGACCCCATAATATCGTTGGCCTTCGTCTTCTTTGTTTTTCTCTCTCCAAGACTTCCGCCCGTTTTCGGGGCTGGGCTTTGGTTGCTTCTCGTCCTCCGCTGTTTAGTAAACCTTCTTCTTCTCGTCGATGGAGAACTGGCCAGGGCCGGCGTTGACGAGCAGGAGGAGACCGCCGACGATGGAGAGGATCTGGAAGAAGTCGTACTTGGCGAAGTCCTTGTGGGGGTGGTGCTCGTGCAGCTACGGGTTCGTTAGCATACGGTGCTGCGCAGTAGAGAACGGCACAGGAACTTACAGTCCAGAAGTTGTTGACGAGGATGTTGAAGATGCTGAGGATGAGGACAAGCAGGGTGGCGCTGAACTTGGCCTTGAAGCCGACGACAACCATCACGCAAGCGACGAAGCCAATGATGGAGGTGATGATGCGCCAGATGGACCACGTGCCGCTGAAGATGAAGCCAACGAAGAGGAAGATGAGCAGGACACGGCCGGCAAGCTGGAAGTACATCTTGCGGTCCTTCTCGTCAAGCTGGGGCAGGCCGGCAAAGGCCTTGCTCTTGCGAACCCACGAGTCAGAGAGGACCATCAGCAGACCGCCAATGACAGACAGGTTGCGCAGGAAGAAGTTGAGGTCGAAGATCAGACCATATCCGAGGGCCTGGGTGACGACAACACCCATGAGGCCGGCGACGGCGTAGTCAGAGTACTTGCGGATGATAACAAGGCTGGAGCAGGCGACCATGGCGAGAACATTGACAATGAGGAACAGGTGCGTGATACCGGAGGGAACTGCAGAGGGGGTTAGGTTAGCCTTGGGCCCGCCATCTCGTGGTTTGTGCACTCGCATACGTACTGTGGCGGTAGTCGTGGAGATAGAGGAGCTGGTCGCTCCACTGGGTAATGATTCTAATGGCATCCTCGAGGAAAGTGACGACGATGAGGAAGCGGCCAATCACGGGCAGGTGACTGTCAAGCAAGCCTCGGTCAGCATACAGAGTTCACACACACGCGACCACCAGCAGGCGGCCCAGCTCCGTGCTAGAGCTCAATAGAAAAAAAGGGGGGGCTTCAACTCACGGCTTGATGGGCTCGCTGACGGAGTCGAGAAAGTCCTCAATCTTGCTCGTCTGTTCACGGATCATGTCCAAGGGGCTGGACTCGGAGGTGTCTGCATTCGGGCCGCCGAAGGACGGAGGACCGCCGGCGCCCAGGCCGTAAGAAGGGCCTCTCTGCTGAGCCATTGTGTGGAGGGAGGAGGTGTATAGGTTGAGGTGGCTGTTGCACGAGGGTGTACAGACAGACCAGCTGTTCGCTCTGGCGGTGATGCGTTGCTCAAAGGGTCGTCGTCGTCGTCGGAAGTGACGGGACTGTTTAGTGGAGAGGCGGCGCGGGGAGCGTCGAACTCGTGGGAGAATAAAATGAGGGTGGACTGCGAAGCTGGGATCCGAGGGCTAGCCTTGACCAAGAAAGACAGAAAGACAGGCGCAGGCAGGTAGGTAGAGGATTCTGCGACGGAAAGGGAAAAAAAGCGAGGCGAAAGGAGATTGGCAAAGTGGCCCGTTGGCGCTCTTGGGAGGCAGGGGAGGGGTTTGGGAGAGCAAGCAAGCCGTGAGCTGTCGGAGGGTTGTGAATGGGTGCGTGTGGTCGTTGAAAAGAAGGAGTTTGCGACTTTGTAGTGTCGAAGGGGACCAGGAGGGAAACGAGACGAGACGACGAGGGCGGATGGATGGGAGCGAGGAGGGCAAGCTGGCCTGAATTGCCTGGATGACTTCGGATTTGGTACAATGTGTCCTTTCGAACCTCCCGCGATGGACGCTGATGCTTGGAGGTCCGATGTATCCACTTTTTAGACAGGACAGCCAGAACGGGTAGGTCGCTGGGATGTACCCGCACCTCTGCTCGGTACATGGCTAATTGCCGCAGCTGCTTGCCCCCGCCCGTGTACCTGCTGAGGGGGGAAGTACCGGCAACACGCTGGGGGGGGGGCAAAGGCTCAAGCTCACTCATCGCCTAGGTACGGATACACTACGCAGTATCCGTACATACGCTGAGGGCTGCAATCGTCCCCATACCGTTGCTGACTTCCATACCCTTCCCTCGCTGGCTCGTGCGCGCTCAGTCCCTGAGCTCGGCACGAACGCCTTAATTCTTCTGCGTGCTAGTACACGTTAGCTGCAGCTGCAGCTGTTCTCAAACGCTTCAACCGGCAAACCCGTAGCCCGCATCTACCCCCTAATTTGTTTGACATTCTTGGTGGAACTCCCGCCCTGGATGCGAATTTGACTCGAGTTGCAGAGAACCAACTTTGCCTGAGGCCATCGCATTTGCAAAGCAAAAAAAAAAAAAACCCCAAGCACCAAAAGAACAGACTGTCGATTTCCCGCCTTCCATCGTCACCCAGCCTTTTGAGCTTCGCGCTTTGCTCTCCGTCTGGTTTGTGCTGGGCTGTTCCATGGGCGTGATAGCAACCTTCAGTCGCTGGCTGCGGTGGCTTACTGTGCACTCCCTAAAAGTCTGACAGCAGCCCTGCTGAACAAAAGGCGGCTCCGCAGCCCAGATGCTTTTTGCCGCAGCAATTCTAAAAAGCCTTTCTCCATCAGCACGGTTTTAAATATAGGGTCCAGCTGACTGTACCTCGTTCTCCATGGCTCATGACTGCATGGTGTGGTGCCTGCTCTAGAACTCCACCAATGCGAGAGGGGACGTCGTGTCTGACTCGTTCGACAAGAGATATCCGCAAGGCTCAACACTTTTGAAAAATAAGAAGAAAAAAAGAAGAAAGAAAAAAGGCATCAGCTGGACTTCAGGAGCGCTTCGAGTAACGCAAAGTGTGCTTGCTTGCCACAGTTCTCGAGACGACGCCTCCGCTTCACAGAGCCGGGAGCAACCACAATGCGGTGGGTGACTCGAACCTGGCGTTTGGCAGTGTGCTCGAAACCTGCATCTCCTTTCGGATGCGGCCGCAGTGTGGGCCAGGTGTCTGGGCAAGCCGTCGACAAGCTCAACGGCATTTGCGCCGGTCCTCTGGGCCGATACCAATAATGCATCCAACACTGGAACCCCTTGTTGAGCGAGGCGGCTCCTCAGTCTATCCATGTGACAGGGAAGCAACAGACTGCGGTGAAAGTCTGCCGTGACTTACAGACATGGTGGAAAGCCATCACCAGTGCTCTACAAGCAGCCAGCAGCTTGTGGCATTTGTAGGAAAGACGCCCGGGGTAACCTCGTCGACGACAAGCCACGACTCTTTCAGCTTGCAGGGGCGGCCATTTCGGTGGGCGCTTCACGTCGAGACGCGCCGTTCAAGTGAACGAAGCCATGCCTTCTGGGTTATTAGGCTTGTACTCCGGATCCGGACGTGATATTTCCAGCAGCATACTAAAAGAGAATTGATTCCCTGCAGAACGAACCAAGTTCTATCCGTCTGCGACAGCACTAGCTGAAGACGACCCTCCCAGTCCCTCAACTCCCGATGCCGCGTCTCCGCGCCCGGAGGCCGTGAAAGCGGGGACACGGCGGCCGCGTTCCCAGTGGGAGTGGGCACATCCGGGGCCGGGCACGCCAGACGTCTTCCTGAAGCCCGGTTTTCATGGCCACGTATGAAACAATAATAATAGTAATAAAAATAAGGCTAAGCGAAGTAGACGAGGCAGCTCCATAGATACCAAAATGTTTCCAGCAAAGCACCGACAAGGCTTGTTTGCTATTATTCGCTGGCTTGAATCTGGCCCGCGGCGCTCGTCAGCACAGCGCGATGAACCACCGACATCGGACCTGGACACATCTGGCCATGACTATCGTCACGCACACACGCACACACACACTCAGCCGAAGCCAGATCAAAAAGCAGGCAACGTGCGACTCTTTCCCGATTCAATGGGGACTCAAGGCGGAAGGGGGAAATGCCAACTCCATTTGCTACATGCCACAGAAACGGACCAGAAAAAGGATACCACCGGGGAAAGAAAGGAGGAGCGGGGAGGGGGGAGGAGGGGGTATATTCATGAGATCGTCCCGAGTCATAAACTACTTCATTTCCTGAATCCGGACCGTGACCTTCTTGTCCGGCCTCGTGCCGTCCTTGCGCTTCTTCCCGACGTACGACAGCCGGCCCTTGACGTCCTCCGGGTCGATGCCCACCGCGGCGCCGGCCGTCACATGGACCGTCAGCTCGATGCTCGCCCTCTTCTTCTCGGGGTCCACGGTCTGCGTGGCCTCGAACCTGGAGGTCTCGCCGTTAGCGCACGCTCGCATGCTCGCCTCTCCGCATCAACACGGTCCGCTCTCCGTCCCGAAGAAAGAAAGAAGAAGAAAAAACATACCTCAAAGTCGACTCGAGCTCCTCGACGCTCTTGGGCCAGGCCGGCACCAGGTCGACCATGACGGCCGCCACGGCGCCCAGGTACTCGGCCCAGAAGACGCTCTCCTGCCTCGCCTCGGCGACGAGGCCCTTCAGGTTCCCGTACAGCTGCACGTCGATCGGGCCCAGGTTCGAACCCCACCGCGCGCACGTCGTCAGCCCCAGCACCGCGCGCGCGAGGTGTGTCAGCCCCGGTGCGCTGGGGTCCCGCGTGACGGCCTCGTGCAGCGCGTACGACGCGTTGGCGTCGTCGTCCTCGCCCTGGTGGATCCAGACCTGCCGCGCGAACAGCGGGCCCAGCCCCAGCGAGAAGACGGTCGGCGTCCGCGAGATGTCGACATTGACGGGCACCGCGCCGTACAGCGTCCGCAGCACCGCCTGCGCGACTGCCATGTCGCCCTTGCCGCCCCCGGCCCCGCCCGCGTCCTCGTGGCCCTGGATCGGGAAACCGGCGAGCGCCTCGAGCGGGTTGCTCTCCCGCACGCTCTTGGGCAGCTTCATCAGCAGCGCGCCGTCGCGGTTCGAGCCCCCGCAGAAGGTCACGGTGCGCAGGTGCGGCACGGTGCGGATGAAGGCCTCGACGACTTCGATGATGGCCGGGAACTGCTGCCGCCGCCGCTTCGACATGCCGTAGATCTTGCCCTCGTGCTCGCTGTTGACGCGCCGCATCTTCTCCGTCTGCTTGAAGAAGTCGCCCGTCACCGTGTAGGTGCCCACTGACGGGAGCGGGTACGGCTGGATCGGGTCGTTGTGCTGCAGCATGCACCCGTAGCCCCGGAACCCGCCACCGCAGAGGTATGCGTCGATACCGCCCGCGACGGGGCCGGCGCTGGTCCCCGCGCCGTTCGTGGTCGGCGCCGCCGTCGCCGAGGCCTCGTGTTCCGCCTTGGCCTGCGCGAGCACCGGGAACTTGTCGCACAGCTTCGCAAAGGCGCTCTGCATGCTCGCGTTGAGCCTCTGCTTCTCCTGCGCGCGCACCTCCTCCGGCTGCCCCTCGAGGACGCGGATCAGCCGCGCCGCGCCAAAGGGCATGCTCTCCCCCGCCAGGGCTGCAGCGATTTCGTAGTCGGGCAGCCGCGTGTCGACCCAGGTCATCTGCACGGACCCGCCGCCGAGGTCGAGGAATAGGCCGCCGCGCGAGATGTCGACGAAGGCGGAGCGTGAGCCCATGACGGCGCCGAACAGGGTTTCGACCTCGGGGGCCAGGACGTGGACGCCAATGTCGGCGGCCTCACGGATGGCAGTAAGCATCTCGCGGGCGTTGGCGGCGCGGCGCATGGCCTCAGTGGCGAGGACGGAGAAGTGGGCGGGCGGGACGCCGTAGGAGACGGCGATGCGGCGGAAGCGGGCGAGGGTGCGGGCGACCTGGGCGATGGTCTCGGCGGGGAACATCATGGGCTCGGAGCCGGCGCCGGGGGAGACGTTGAGAGCATCGAAGAGGGAGATGCCGGCGCGCTCGCGGTAGATGGGCCGGAGGAGACGGGTCTGGGGTGGGGTGAGATCCGAGATGGAGAAGCGGATGCCGTTGCTGCGGGATGGGGTGTTACGTCAGTCTGGAGGCGTTCTGCCTGGTCGAGGATCAATGGCAAGCATTGCGACACATCAAAGTCATTAAGCACGTTCAAGCATGTCGAGGGACCGGAGCGATAGGGCTGAATAAAGCAAGACGTGATGCCCACCCGATTTCTGATAGAAACCGTGAAGGTGACGTCCGGAGACGGAGGGGGGAAAAAAGAAACGAAAAGGAAAACCCCGATGTGAAGGAAACCGCGTCGACTGACCTGCCCATATCAACGAGCGCATATAGGTGATTGGTGCCTGCGGGGTCCCATCTTGGCAGCAGCTGCTCAAAATTGTCGAGCGTTATGATGTCAGAGCTCGAAGCCATGGCCGGCGTGGTGGAGGCCGAGTCGAGGTCGTGGGGGAAGGGGAAGAGGGAGGGGGGGAACAGGAGGGGTAGTATTTTGTCCTCAAAGCAGTCGTTGTGCAGAAAAGGATTTCCACGGGGGTCGGCTGCCGACATATATCTCTTCGCTTTTCTTCTTTTGCCTCCGCCTTCTTCTTCTTCTTCCGCCTGGCGCCTCTTCTTAAAAAGTTGCTTGTTTCCGATGCGCGTGCGCTTGTGCGTGTGGGTATGCGTGTGCCGCAGGGATGGGATATGTATGCGAGGTGGGCAAGGTAAGGCAGGGCAACAGAAGGGGGAAAGCGTGAGATAGAGAGCGAGAGCGAGAGCAAGAGAGAGAGAGAGAGAGAGAGAGAGAGAGAGAGAGAGAGAGAGACAGGATGATGAAATTACCCGGGATGCTGACAGAGACGCTGATAGTGTCGTTGGGTGTGAGGGGAAATCTACGTAAACGGAACCTGTTGCGTGTGAGGTGTGGATTATTGGATACTCGGCGACGGGCACCCAAGAAACCAGCGTAGCTGTGGATTTACCTAATAATCTTGCATCCACAGTGAGTGAGAGAGAGTGTGTGTCTGTGAGAGAGTAAGAGAGTGAATCTTTCCAGAGTTGCGTGAGGAGCAGTGCGTCTCCCGTCGGCTTGATATAACCTCTTGGCACTCTTTTGGTCTTCAACAGTGAGTCGAGAAGGCTTCTTGGTAAGCATGTCATGTGCAACACAGAGGGACACTGTCCGGACTGTGAAGCAAAATGAAATCTCACCTCGCCAGTAACACATAGAATGGGGTGGTGGTGGTGGTGGTGGTGGTGGGGGGGGAAGCCCGCACCGAACACATCTTACACACTAGCTTCTGTGAGCCCTTGGGGGGGCTCGACCTTCCAAGTCGGCTTTAGGCAACCAATCCGTCGTCCCCCCCCCGCTCTTACTCATCTTATCTCTCACAACTCCTCGACTCTTGCATTTCAATGCCGTCTACTTAGGCATCATAGACATGCGCCCGATATTCCGCCTCCGTATGCCGCACCGCTTCGCTCTATCATCGCGACCCCAGGCCCCGGGGATGACCGCCTAGAGCCGCTCAGTGCCGGCGCGTGACGGAAACTGCTGGTCGATGCATGGCCTAGGCAAGATGCATCTCTGGCTGCAGTTGGACGCATCCCTCCCATGCGGGTTGGCCTCGGTTGCAGCCCACCTGCATATTCGCTTGCCCGCTCGTCGCTGACGGCCAAGCTGCTTCATAGAGTCGATTGAGGGGCAGAGTCTCATCAATAAGCCTGCTCCGCTGTGCGAGCATGTTGATTCTGGTTCATTTGCCGCCGCCGCCGCCGCCGCTGTTGCTGCCTCGTCCTCAGTCACACATTCTGCTTCCTCTACCGATTCGGCGACGAGAGAATACCAATGAATGAGGTTCCAACCTACTCCGATAATGGCGCTTCACCCGCCCGGCGGCGCGGGGCTCACACGCCAAGCCAAGGCCTGCGCAGAGTCACGACGAGTCGGCTCCGAAAGGTGAGGGGTTACCACGCCTGACACGATAGGCGACATGTCGCCAAGAGCCGTGTTGAACGTCAGACATCGAGATGCCTGGCCACTGATGTATGTGCACAAAAGACTCCAAGGCGATATGTGACATGCGACAACCTAATATGGCATTCCTTGCATGCAGATGGTACGTGACAGACGCCCGTCAAAATCAAACGTAAGCATTAAGGCACTTAATTCTCTAGACCCAAACTCCGCGTGGCATGCTTATTGCTCCATGAGCATTCGTCTCTCCCATCCGGTCAAGGCCATGTCGTTGCTGCCAAGGCGAACGCGTTCACATGTTTCCCATACAAAGTAGTGTAGTCATCACGCCACGCAACTCGCCCGGTAGAATCTGGTTCCGTGCCGAGCGGGCCCTTCCCCAAGCCGTACGACCGCCTCAGAGCTAAGTTCCACGCGAACGCGCTCGCACTCACGCCTGCCACCAGTCCAGCCCGCAGCATGATCTCGTAGTCGACCAGGCCTCGTTGGTCCCAGGTGAGCTCCCCCAGAGCCGCTTGCTCATCCTCGTCCAGTATGTCCAGCTTGGTCACGACCGTAGTGTTGAAGTCCTTGGCGCGGCTGACAAAGGCCGTGACGTTGTCCTTGGTGGCGCCCGTGGCGAGGAACGCGACCTTGGATTCGGACTCCAATATGAAATCGAGGTAATGGGCAGCCTGCGAAGGGTAGTCCGGGTATTTGTCGTCAACATTCTCCTCCGTGCGCAGGTGGATGCCCACGAAGCTCTCTGGGTGATACCGCCTGCGCGGGTCGAGGTTGAGCCCGAAGCGGGATCCGAGGGTGAAGAGCGCCGACGCCGCAAGCCGTCGAGCGTCCGGGCGGACGCGGAGCATACGCCCAAAAGACGATGCCACCGAGTGCCCGTCCCCCGCTACCTGCCACGTCCATTGGGTACGTTTCAAATGGACGCGGAACGGGTTTGTCCTGTCCTTGACAGGCACCTTCTCGTTGACGAAGCGGTGGAAGCTATGATGCCACGTCTCTGGCGCAGCTATCACGGTTCCGTTCACCCAGTCGTTATTGGTATCCCCAATGTTGAATTGTAGAGCATTCGAAGCCTCTGGGACGTCGTAGAGGTCGTTCAGTGACTCGTACACCTTCATCTGTGGGCAGTACGTCGTGAGCACGTGGTGCAAATGGTCCACATCGAAATAGTAGTCGAGAGGCACACCGGTCAACCCGTTGACGGTTTTGATGTCATCTTCAGAACGAGAGATGATTCGAGGCAATACCAACGCGGCTGTGACCTGTCAGAACCGGCCAGATAAGATGACGACGGCGGAGTAGGCTCTTACCTCCCGCCTCGATTGAGAAGCGGATGCAGTGCAGATGGGCATTGCGTACCTCGCCAACGCCCCCAGCAACTTCATCGCAGCTCATCAACAACCCCGGTGTCCATTCCTTGCTGGCACACAGAGTCGCGATGGCGGCGCCGTTGAATTGACCATCGATCTCGTGCTCGAGGAAGTCTTTGATAAAAAGCTCCCTTTGGTTGCGGAACACTCGAGTGACGGCATGGATGTGCTGTCGGTTTAGGCCTGTATACCATAGTGACCAGAGTAACAGAAGGAGCGGACCCGCGAGCTTCGCAATCTGGGACATTGACGAAAAAGCGATCATGATGGGCTCGTCGATGCAGTCTGGCTGCTGTGATGCGTAGGTGGTGGGAGGAGCATTTTCTTGACGACGAGGAAAGGCACCATCAGAAAAGATGGCCAGCTCCCAAGGGTGACACAAGTGGAATGTCAAGCTTCATAGCCAGCTGGACGAGCCAGGAATGTGGCGTCTATCTGTCGTCTTCGGGTTGGCGTAGCGTGAATCGACTTCTATGGAAGGGATGGGATTGGCAATAGCGCGCCCAGTAGGCTGCCAGCCTGGCAGCCATTATTATCCTAGACGTTTTCGACAGCGGCTCGGAGGCCTTGGCTATACCCACCCGGCGAACTCTTCTGATGTTTGCGGCAAGTTGCGACTTGCGGCCAGTCTACCTTCGTGTCATAAGCTAGTCGCCTAGGAGCCTCTCAGTGTGTCAGTGTCCACTAGGGGAGCACGCTAATGTGAGCTCGAGTCGCATCCAAACTCGCCCTGGCTACAGTGAAGATTACCGGTCGAATGCGAGTGCGATCTTGAGATTCCACGGTTCCTGAAGTCGGAAGCCGCGACGCAGATTTGTAACTTCGTGGGCTATGGGCTCCACTCTGCTCGGTTGGCGTTTCGAGATATTGAGGCATCAGCGGTGCACGCTTTCGTCCCGGGATGCCACGACGCCCCTCCGTACTTTCTTTCCATCATCATGTGCATCCAGTCGTAATTTCGGATGGCAGATGGCCAGAGTGAGCCATAGCGCCGTTCGTTGTGCAATGGTGCCTGGGCTCATCGACGAGCACCATCTGATCACGTCGTTGAAGATACCTACCAGCTCGAGGTGAAGCAACGTCGACGTGGTCCGGGGATGCACCGTACTGCGGCAGGCCACATTCGGGATCATGCTGCTTGGATCTCGCAGCAGACAACCGAGCGGCACCATGCAGTGCGCTCGCAAGAAGGAAACACGCGCGCGCTGATTGGCGACGGCGGACCGTCCCATGGTTCCTCAGGGTTGGTGTAACAGTAGGCGGTTGTCAAGTGCCTGCGGGACGGCCGTTTTGTTTGACTCGGGCGGGCGTGTAATCGTTTGAACGGGAGCGAACTCTTTAGTCTGGGAGGTGCGATGTCAAACTAGAGTGGGATGGGAGCTGGGGCATTAAGATTGCCGATGCCATCGAAAGTGGCTGAACTTCAGAGACGGACGAAATCAAACCGGGGGTATCCTGTCATCAAGCGGCGGCGTCCCCAAGACTAGGAGGGAGAGAGAACGTGGACGTCGCATGAATCCTACTGTTCTTGCAGCGATGCATCCTAGCCGACTCAGCTGCAGCGTTGCTGCAAACTTGCTGATCCCAGAGGGGAGCCCTCCTGTCATTTCTCTGAGCAGAGAGTGGTCAAAGGTGAAAGAAGCCGTGGGGGAGGTTCACGGCAGCCGGCACACTAAAAGGCATGCTTGCAGCTGACATGCCATTCGATCAAGGTCGACGGTGACCAGTTAAGAATGTACACACACCACCAGCACTCACCGCATCGCGGCTCCATCGTCGTGCAGACCGAAGCAGGCATACGCAGCTGGCCAATACGCCATGCTGTGCGTAGATTGGTCCGAGATACAGCGATCCGGGAACAGGGAAGAGAGGAAGCAGAGGGACGTAACACAACGCAAAGGCAGTGCGATTCGTGTTGGCATTAGCATGCTTGTGGAGTCTATTCGGTGTTAGTCTCAGCCAGCACGGTGTTTAAGTGTGGTCTGTATCCGTACCGAGATGCGAAGTAGAATGGCTTGAGCCCGGGATCAACATTCCATCCCGCCGTCAATGCCAAACAAGAAGAGATCGGACTTTCCTCGTCCGGAGGCAGGTCTTGGTTCGTAGTTCATGGTTCATAATAGGGTGGGGGGAGAGGGGTGAGGAGGAGAAGGGAGGGGGGAAGGTGGGTGCCAGATGCAAGACGGCGGCGGCCTTTGGACAGTTCAAAGTCTGGGAAATGCTGTGTTCTGTTCATGTCACCCTCCCCCGCGCGCCTGAGCACAACCGCAGGCCCTCGATCCTGGCATCACATCTTCATGCCCTCTGTCTGGTCCAGACTCTGGAGGTACCTAGGTACGGAGGTACTTTTACCTAGCAGCTCTTTCCAGAAGTTAGCCCGTAGGGGTAGCGTGGAAAGAGCGTTCGGTGCTGAAGGGTACGACATGCGGGGATGGGACTTTCCCAATCCAGAACAGCCAGGATCTGGCGGTTCAAGGACAAGTCTAGAAAGAGCTTTGATACGATCCTTCCAATTAAAAAACCAGGAAACCGCCATTCGACCCGCATCACTGCATGTGACCCACATATCATAACGCGTAACAACGCGTCACGATCACGTCCACAACGCGTCTATTTCCCACTTCACACACCTCATGCTGTCCTGTCCTGCCCTGGATGTTGAGGTTCAGAATTTTCCACATCACTTCGTCTCCATCTCTCTTCCCCCCCTCTCTCTCGTGCACGGAGCGCAGTAAAGTCAGTTTCAGCCGTCGGCCTTTTGTTGGAACACCCCCACCAATACCGTACGGAGTACGCCTTTCTTGAATGAACGTCACCGCCCACAATCGCTGTCCGTACCCGTCGCACTCACCTCGACTGTCACCGGCCACATGCAACGCCTCACCTGGTTACTCACCTCTACCGGCATTCGTCCTCTCCTCTTCAACTTGACCCTCTATAGCTGTGGCCGCACCCTAACAAAACCACGCTTCGGATTCGCTCGCCCCCAAACATTACACTCTTTGAAATCTGCTATCAACTAGTTATTCGACCTTTTCATTCATCTTGAACATCACCCGTCCTGAACACTACCAACCATTGCCCACCCAGACATTCAACTTGTGGCTTGTTAGCGACGCAATCGCTGCACGTCCGGACACTGTTCGTCCAAAGACCGACCGTCCGGCGCACAAATAAGCTTGGTAGCTGCAGGCGCAGAAACCAGCCTCCTCCGTTTCTCGGCCCCGGCCGCAAACAACCGAGCGCGAGCCATTGGACAGTACACTCTGCCTGCGGACAGGACGGCTGCCAGCCGCAACAACAATCACGGCAGGGCAAACGCGCCCTACCCGAGAGGGACACAGAGCAAGAAGCTGCACCCGGGCAGCATCGTCTGGTCGCTTTTCTCACCGCCCCGCCAAAGCAAGCCAGATATCTGGTCGTCTGAAAACCGACGCACCTTGCCATTGCTTGCTTGCTCGGGCTCGCAGCCTGTCTTGCGCGGCGGCTTGTTAGGTCGTTCGCTGGATCGGCCAGACTACGATCGACTCCTCTGGTCACGACTCTAGCTTGTTTTCTGCGGCACCTGCTGCATCGCGCGACGACCAAGTAGGGCCAGTAGTCGTGTTGGCGTTGTTGATAGTTCCGTGACAGATCCGGGGGGCCTGCTGTGACTGCTTTGCCTCGGCCAACCCCTGCCCTAGTTCTGCGTGCTTCCCAGACTTCACACGCGTTGTACCTTGCCTTGCATACTACGTAGTAGGCCTGGCGAACGGTCGAACCCACCAACGGGCGACCAGAAGTCCTTGTTTTGCTTTGCTTTGCTTTCTCGGCTCGCTCGCTCGTCCGGACCTCGTCGTTCGCTGCCCCCCCATGGTCCTGTCGTGTCCGCTGACTGGCTACACCACACACAGCACAGCGTGTTCGGAGTGCATGCGCCTACTGCAAACACAACCACCCATCCTCAGGTATGTACCTAGGTAGTTTACGTCGCCGACCAGGCCCCCTGAAGGTCACTTCTGGAACCCTGGTGAAGAAGAGAGGAGGAGTCTTGCAAAAGCCACGACTTCATCCGGACCCAGTCTCAGAGGAGGTTGACAGCAGACCCCTCTCCAGGGCGCTTCCCACACCACGCACCTCACCGCACATCGCATCTTCAGGGTCTTCGTTGCAAAAACAAGACCACGCACACCCGGCACTCCACTCTGCTGCTACATGCGCTGGCGAGCCTTCTTTCTGGACTGACTTGTCTCGAGGCGCTACAGGCGTGTCCGTCAGTCACAAAACGCTCCACTGTTAGTCGCCTTGGACGGCTCGACTAGGTTCCCTTGGGTTTAGCCGGGGTGGGGGATTCTAGCGTGCTCAACCGCCGTCCGCCGACCGCTGTGCAACAACACCCCCCTCCCCCGGTCACAAACCACCACACCCTCCTGTGACTGCAACTGCCCGGGGGGGTTCAAGCGAGCGAGGGTTCGTCGGTTCACCCGAACTTCTGGTGAGGTACTTTCGGCGTCCAACGGCCTATCGACTCTTTTCCCACTGCAACCCTCAGGCACGACCGCAGGCTCAGGCGCAGGCACAACGGTTTTCTTTTCCCAGTCGTATCCTGCCTGCGTCTCGCCCTGTCCCGGCTCTACAAGCAAGGTTCGCGCCACCCGCTCTCCTCTTCTCCACCCGCCTACCGTCGCTGGACCTTGCCATACATACTACACCGGTGTCCGCCTCAACCCAGTCCTCTCGGGTCTTCCTTCTCCCACCTCTCCTCTTCAACCACAGTCGTTCCTTTTCGCAAACATCAGCCGTCCTCCGGTGGTGGGGGCTGCGCTGCGATTTCCTCCAACAATACCCGTGTTCACGAGCCATCCACCACCAGTAACAAATATCGACATCTTTTGTTTGTCCGACCCCTGGCTCGTTGCGACGACCCTTTTCCTTGGTCCTTCCCCCGATATTGCGCTCACGACCCCTCTCCCGATATCTACGACCCTATCCACGAACCTATTTACGACCACTGGAACGAACCGACGAATACGGCACAGACGACACCGCCGGTTTCTTTTTCTGTATCCATTCGACTATTGTCTTAACCCAAGCGCTGTGGAGTAGTCGGACGAATCTCGAACCCAGCCAAGCCCGCCGCGTACCCGATTCGCTTCAGATTGAGCGCATCATACCAACTGTCGCAATTTGCCTCGGCCGTAGCCGACCAAATCCGAGACTTGTTATTTTTATTTTACACATTGGGCATTTTGCGCCTCACGCCAAAAACCTCTGCCCCCAACTCTCGCAAGATCGGCATTGGCTTCGGTCGAAGTCTTTTGAGGCTTGGAGACCCTACGCGCGCTACTTTCTCACTCATCTGGAGGGTCAGGATTCCTGCCTGTCTCAAACTTGACACCGCAAAAGACGAGTGAAAGGATCGCGTCGCCTTTGTCCTTGGGCAAACCACCGTAGTCCGACCCCCAAGCGCGGAACTCCGTTACGATTGGAATCTCGTACGCGAGGTAATCGCATTCCCAAGACCTTCTTGTTGCCGCACAAGATGAACCCTCAACATTCCGGAGCGGCTACTCTGCCAAAAGGCTTCCGCTTCCACGATCTGGACCATCAGAACCCCAAAACGCCGGAGCCTTTTGCCACGAATGAGGAGCTGCAGCCACCCTCTCCGCCGCGTCCACGGTTGAGATTGAAAAGACGCGTCGCATCCAGCCTCGCCGCCCCTACCTCCCAGTTCCTCGCGTCGGTCGCTGCTGCCGATGTGCCAATCCCTAGCATCGAAGAGCCGGAGTCCTCTGGCGCAAACAAGCAGATTTCCAGCATGACATATCCAGTCATCCACAACCTCGGGGACCTGGATGGCCTTGGATTTCAGAAGCTTCGCGGCAGACGTTTTTCTCCACCCCGAACACCAGCACCCGGCGCCGCGCCTTCGCTTTCGCCTCAACGCTATCCCAACTGGTCCATCGACTCTGCCTTCAGTAGCGGCGAGTCAACGCCCGAGTTCGAGTCCAGCCGGCCATCCACTGCACGGTCCACCCAAACCAGCGCGTCCATCTTCAGCCGCTTCTCCCTAATGTCTGACGATCTGGAGTGCATCAGTCCCGAGACCGACGCATCGGACCACATTAAGCAATCCTTCTTTGACAGTTTTGATGAGCCTGCCGACCCTCCACCCAAGCCCAAGTCGAAGAGGCGGAAGGCTCCTTGGACAAAGGCCATGAGCGATCATCTCTGGGCTACCTACCTCACGTATCTGCAAGACCCCAAGGTCACACCATTCCGCACCGGCAAAAGCTGCATCCCTCCCCACGGCGTGTGCCTCCGCGTTGCAAGGGAAGCGAAGAGGAGTTGGCGAGGCCCCAAAGGCGGAAGAAAGTCGCTGAACCCAAAGAGCGGGAGCAACACGCCAACCGTCGAGACTTGTACCTTTCTCCAGTGGCCACATACTTGTGCGGCCACTCGAGCGCATCTGAGGGAGCTGTGTAAGTTGAAAGCGGCCTCGTCGTCGGCCCGGACATCCCGGTTTCTCGCCAACAGCCCGACGCCTTTCGGCAGGACGGCGGCCAGGTTCTGGAACCGCAGGTCCACTCCGGCTCGGTCCCCTTCCGTCTTCGCGGCGCATGACATGTCCATGTCGCTCACCCTTAGCACTTCAGAAGCTATGCAGCCTCAAGGTCCTCTGGCACAGCTCACAAAGTCGAGCCCCGAACTTGCTCAGGAGCCCATGACGGAACCGTTCCCTCTACTAGCAGTAGAGGCCGACAAGCTGGGCATCCCTCTGGGTGAACGCCCGCGGCTCGGGTCGCCGTTCATGGCCAAGAGCTATGGGCCCAGCTCGACCGGCGCGTTGGCTGCTGCCGCGTCCTCGATGCCGCAAAGGCAGAATCAGAGCCTCGGCCGCAGACGCACTCTCCAGTCGCCGGCGCGTCTGACGAGAAGCCGGTCCAACACGCAGAAGCGCGTCGGGAGACCCAGACAGGGGTCGCATGAGCCAAGAAAGACGAAGCGGCCCAGTCTCGTCTCGGATCTTTGGATCGAGCCCATGCCCTCTGAAGCCCTGCCCAAGACACCACTTGAACCGGATGTCGAGTTTAGCTCGACAGACAACCATTCGCGCGATGATCTCTTCGTGCCTCGGACAAATCTCGCTGGACTCTTTACGGCGCCCATGCGGATACCCTCCTCCAGATCCCAGCTATCGGATTCATCCGATCCGTTCTTGGCCCCGCCCAATGCGCCACCTCCGAGACTGGGATCGCCGTTTCCTGGGTCCAACACCAGCTTTTCGTTTCCAAGTCGGCTCACGCAGCCAGGGGGGCTTGATCACGGTACCATCCGTCCCTTTGCCACAGTTCAACAGTCGGGTGACGGCGGCTCGGCGCCTCCCCGCAACCTGGCTGACCGATTGGCCTACATTGACGAACGTCTTCGGGACTTGAGACGGCGTGACACCAACCGGCGCCGATCCGAATCCCCATTTTAGTGAATGCCTTTCTTTGCTGTTTTCTTTTGTACATGCTGCTACGCCCATTATTGTCTCACGACTCATGAGTTCATGCAAGTCACCTGCCCGATACCCACGTGGCTTGACTCCCGCAAGGACATGCCCCTCGACCGGTACATAGACGACAGCCCGCTTTGATGACGACCCCCGACATTATTTTCCTTGCTTCACTTCTTTCGAACACATCTGCTTCACATACCGAAAGGAGGAGACACTCCCGGCTTGGAGGACTAATACCCGCTTGGTTTGAGATGGTGTGTGAAATGGACAATGTTTCCTTTGTTGCTCTTTTTCATGGCTGTCGATTCGTCGCAGCCCGGCTTCTTGCTATGAGAACCATGACGACGGAGATGATGAAACGACATTCGATGAGAAGGTCTGATATATTATGTATCTACCGGCGACCGGGCCTCGACTGGGGTTCCGGGACATTTACTGAGAAGGCTCCTCGAAGAGAGGAGACGTGAGTGGAACAGAGAACGTACGAGTGAGTGAGAGAGAGAGAGAGAGAGAGATTTATCGGTGTGAACCAGAAGACAGGACAATCGTTTTTTAGACGAATGGATATGACCTTTGGGAAAATTTGCGTTTCGGCACAACTGCTCTTCCGTGAGACGCACTTGACGTCAGTCGACGCGGGCCCTTGCCGCCAAATGTCTGGTTTCGTCGCGTCGTGCCGTCCTCTCATGAGAGCTGACTGACTTACATGTGTCTTGACCCGACACGCGAGAAAGCGTGAGAGAAAATCCTTCTGATGACGACGAACCGCGTGCGAACCGCGTCCGACACGCGCCAATTCGCTGGTCTTTGCATATGGTGATTCGACGCGGTGAGGGGGGGCAGCTGCCAAGTAAAGGAGACTGGGCCTATCAGCGCGAGGAGCGAAGACGCGGGACGCGGCGATGGACGGCTGAGGTTGTGTAACGTAAGACGAGGACGGCCACGTCGGACGCGAGCAGCCGATGAGGTGCATATCAAAGCCCGGAGGGGATAAGCAAGGGAGGGTCAGATCAGACAAGCGCATCGGGAGAGAGACGGTCAGCTTCTGCCTCGACTTCCCGAGATATACTCTGTGGAGGAGTCATGATGCAAAAGAAGACTCGGTCTCGGGTGCTGTTCAAGATGCCGGCTCGAGTTTCGTGCAGATGCTGGCCGTGGGGTAGGGATGAACTTTGGGGAATGTAATGTGATTGGGGGCGGGGGCTGAAGACACAGATTGGGAGGGGCGATGCTCATGTGACGAAAGCCGGCTCAGGCGAGAGTCCGAGGTCGTTTTGCGTCGAGGGTTACGCCGCGTAATGAGTGAGGCCGGGGAGTGCATTCCTGGGCGGTTGCTCTCTCTCTCTCTCTCTCTCTCTCTCTCTCTCCCCGAGCGAACTGCCGGACTGTGCGTGCCCGCGACTCGGCCGAGATGCCATTTCTCACGATGTGTGTTTTTTTTCTTTTCTTTTTGTAACAATCATCGGGGCAACGGGGTCTCGTCTCTTGAGGGGGAGAGAGGGTGGGGAATGCCAGCTCGGGAATGGATTGGATCCCCGCTGATCTCCGGATCGTATTTCCCTTTTCTTGTCGTAGCCATCGTATCGGTCAGGGCTGCGGCTCATCTTAATATCCCACGTGGTTTCAAGCCTCTTTGTAAATTAATTTTCATTCTAGGGTTCTTACTCTCTCTCTCTCACGCAGTACCACAAAGCCTTAGCCGTCCGGGGTCTATGAAAAGACGTGTGCTAGAGGCTATCGTGCTCTTGTAAACGTTCCCACTATCCGCCTTAGATTAGCTGCTTTGTATAAATATCGCGTCGTTGGGGAAGTCCGCACCTCGACGTGACATGGGCCATTCTCACTGGTATGCCGGAGAATCACTGGATCAACCAGAGATGTGACAGCGTCCACGTAAATGATTCTCGCCCAATACAGGGCAACCGCCTCACCTAGGCAAGGAGCAACGGAAGACAGGCCTGGACGTATTACCAATAAAGGAGCAACTGGAGATGGCCGCCGGGGGCGGGACGTGTTTGCCGTGCGATTGAAAGTGCAATGAACTGAGCGATATCGCCCCTCCTTACACCATCAACTATAGTTTTACACGCATTTGTATACTATTAAGCTTTTGGGTTGACACATATGCGTGCTCATCTACGAAAGGTGAATACATCTGGCCCGAGGTACACTACAGTTATTAAAATGTCAAGCGGAAGAGGCCGGCACCCAACACCATACTAACGGCGACAGGGAATCCAGCCTGGAGCATAATCGTCTCTCTCTCTCTCTCTCTCTCTCTCTCTCTCTCTCTCTCTCTCTCTCTCTCTCTCTGCCCCAGACGGGATATGAATTTGGAATGTTCAGCAGCCTCATGTCACGCGTTCAGCTCCCGATGAGGCACCCCCCATATTCTCTATGGCTTGATGCGGAACGGTGGCCGGGCGAAGGTGGAAAACTGCCAGGAATTTCGGTAGCATTTCACGGCGGTTCGGGGAAACCGGGTGGCCGGATATCAGTTCCAGAGCCAAAAAAGGTCCCGTTACTTCTCGCCTGCTCTTCCTCCGACATCATGGACGATTTCCCCTAGAAAAATTGGAATGAAATGAGATACGGCTTCCCCCCCTGGACGTCTCGAGCGGGCAATGGCACCGGGGGCGTGGTTTAAGCTTCGAGGCTGGGACGCCGGGACGCCGCCGCCGCCACAAGGCGAGGCGAGACCCGCGACCCACCGCTACCGGACACGCACGCCGGCGTCGGTCCTTGGAATGTGTAAATGATTGTGGTATGTTGATTATTTACAGGACCAGAGGGGGGGCTGAAAAGGTATATTGATCAATCTGTTGGGGGGGTTCTTTTCTTTTTTTCTTTTTGTCGTTGGGTCCTTCATAGTATTGTACAGCCTTGCTGGGTAAAAACATTGTTTCGCTGTTTCACGGGCCCGCTGGGACCAACAGGCCCCTCCTCCAGCATGTCCCGTCCGAGCGCCCTCCTCCCCCCAGACTTGAGATCTGCAGGTTTAGCGAAGTGGCCGTATTCTGACAGCGCTGATCGCTCACCGTGGCTGGAAGAACAGCTCCAGCGCTTTGGGTGGGGGCTCTCTCGATTGGTGCCAGCAATGTACGGATACGAATGCGTGCCTTCGATCCTCCGGGGCCGGGCCGGGCCAATGGGACGTGGCAGCACATCATTAGGCCGTTCCTCCTTCCTGGGGTCCGGAGAAGGATTGGGGGGGGGGGGGGGTTCCTCAGCTAACTACATTGTACGTAGCAGGCTCCATTTCGCCCGGCTTTGGTGTTGAGAAAGGGAGCCAGGGAGAGAGACGCGCAAGAGCGAACCGGACCTGCACATTCGTATTGACGTTTGACACTGGCATTGGCACTGATGTTTGGCGGGGAAGGGGACGGATTGTCTCTGTCGTCCGCCGCCCCTTGCAGCACAGCGCAGCAGTGCGACTGGGCGCGGACCGATCGTCAGACCGGCTGCGTCGCGCTTGTTCGGATCCGTCGTCTAACCTACGTCTCTGCCCCCCTCCCCCGGTGAAGGGGAAACCAGAGCCGGCACTTTGGGGACGAGGGTGAGACAAATGTCGACATGAGGCGTGGGGTAGACGAGTAGAACGGGGAAAGTCCCGGTCCCCTTCCTCTCACTCTTTCGCCGCAAGTATTGGGATAGTCGGTAGGTGTTGGATCCCGAGGGAGCCGGCCGAGATTGTGGTGGTCCTTCCCCACCCTTTCCTTTCTCTCGACCCCACGGCGCCTTCTCGAGATGGGAGACATCGTCGCCTCCTGTCCATGATCTCATCTCGGCAAAGGCCGGCGGACGGACAGGGGGCAGAAGACGATACGAAAATAAAACAACACCAAGGCTTATTTTAGATGATCCGAGCGGTCCCGTCCTGCATTACCTATAGGGGGGGGGGGATGAGAGGGAAGGGTTCACTTCTTTAGTCCCTCCCCACCCCGTTTGCGCTACGCTCGTATATCTCGACTAGCCCTATGAGAGCACAAGAGCTCATTTCCCCTTTGGGGAGAGATGAGAGTGGTCTGGGCTCTTCTCCGAGGGCTGTTGAAAGTCGCTCCGCAACATCCGGCGGGGTGGGGGAAGCAAGTCCGCGTTGCGCATGTGCAAGGGGGGGGGCGTTGCGGTCCCTTCTCCCTTTTCTTCTGCTTGCCTTTTCTTTCTTCCGGTAAGATTGTGGGGAGGGCGGGGGGGGGGAATCTCAATCGTGAGACCGGTCACCGATCTGGCCGCCGCACCGCCGCCGCCTCGACCGCGTTTCCTTTTCATTTGACCTCTGAGACGAAGAGGAGGGAAGCAATACCGGGACAACGGGAGAACGCAAAGAGGGAGGGGGGTGTCCACGCACGGTTTGATTTCCGGCACCAGGTGATGACAAGATGGCACGGCGCGGCGCCGACACCAAACCAGACGGAGTGCCTCTACGCGGATGTCAGTCGATGCCGTCCGTCCCCTCCGAGGAGCAGTCGGGGGGGTCCCCCGTCATGACGATGTCGATGCCGAGATAAGGAGAAGACCCGGCAAAAGCCAAGCCGCACACCCAATTTAGCAACTTTCCGTTTGACTCGAGTAGATCTGCCCCCCATTCCCCTTCTCCTCTTGTCTCGTACCCGTCAAGCTGGGGTGCGTTCGGCAGAGGCTGCGCAAAGAAGAGAGACACGGGGCGTCCCCAGGGCTGAGCCTATCTTCCTGTATCTCCTCCCCCGACCTTGCCTTTGGGATCCGAAGACGCACCACTGCCAAGTATCCTTACCCGTGGGAGTCCGGTTTCTCCCCAGTCGTGTCGAGCTTTTTTTATTGCTCCCGGATCGAGACTGCGGTACACCCGGTCCATCCCGGGCCCCCCATCTTCGTACAGCAAAACCGAAACCAAAACCCAAGGAGGAACCCCCCCCAGAAGTATGTACGATGTAGAATCCAAAACCGAGCTAGGTAGACACGCAGCAAATCACCGGCACGGGACCCCGAACCTTATGCCTAAACTAAACGAGGGGAGGGGGGGGGGGGGGGTTGTTACTAGGTAGTGTGCCGCGTAGCCTGTGGGCATGTAAGATGGGACGATGAAGATGAAGAAAACAACAGGACCCGAGAAACCTCCCCCAAGGCCCACACAAGCATTCCGCCCGGGCTATGTACCCCGGTAGCAATAAACAATAGTCCCCCATCACGGCCAACCCAAACTACCTTGGCTACCTACCAGATGCCCGCCGACCTAACCAGCTCCAACCTTGACTCCAACTGTCTGCTTGCAAGAGAGAGAGGGAGAGAGAGAGAGTTCGGCGGCCCGGGTCTCTCCACCTCCTCGGGCTACGAGACGCCGCTTCGGGGTGGCAACAACGTTGGCTTTTCATTTTATGTTCGGAGAATCCCTTTGGGCACCAGCAAGGGGGGCGGAGGGCCGTAGAACTAAAGGGCCAAGCAAACCCGGAATGGTCCAAGACAAGAAGGAGAAACAAGGAAAATAGGAACTAGGTAAGCAGGCCTTCCCAAGGGATCCCGTAGGGGGGAGGGGGCAGCCACAGGTATTGGTGCCCCCCCTCCAAGAGAGGTCAGCCCGCCTAAAGGCCAAAGCGGTATCAACCAGGTGCCACAGGCCACACACCACCCAAGCACACATACAGTACACACACATAGGCACATGCAGAACACCTAGACCTTACTCGCGACCTAGGTAGCTTAGGTACCTGACACACACCAGCTGAGAGCTGAAGAGCTAGGCTAGCCGTACCGAACGAAGCTTCCCCAGCGCAAGGGGTCGCTTGTATTCTTGTATTCTCTCGTACCACACACAGAGTTACAACACACACCACACACATATGCGCCGCCCGCGCGCACCGGCCGTCTCATTCAACGTCAGACCAAATGGTCCTTCTTCGCCCGGCTTTGCTGACCCTTTCCTTATTCCTTCTAAACCACCATCCCCCCCCCCCCCCCCCCTCCTCTTCAAAAGAAAACGGTATATTATCGTGAGGAACCGCACACACACCCGTTTTTAAACCATTTTCCTCTTCGCTCCCCTCCCCTTCTCGCCTTCGTCTCCGTCGCCCCGTCTCCTTCTGTGCGCCTCGCTTACCGACGACGCCGAAGAAAACCCTCCAGTCTCGTGCTTCCGTGCTACATACAGCGTTGGGTTCCCAGCCTAATTAATATCCCCCCCAACTCTCTCGCCGTGCGACCTTCCACCGTCCTGCCTATATCTAGGATTCCAAAAGCAGCTCTTGTCGGAAAAGAGGGAAATCATCACGGCGTCATCGCCCCTTTTTATAAGAGAGAAAATACACAAGTCGAGGTATTCCGCCAACAAACGTATGTATTAGCGTTGTATTTGGGGGGCGGGCAACGACAAAACCGGCCATCATCCCCCTGGGGTATCTGAACTATTTACAATAAAGAAGAAGAAGAAGAAGAAAAAAGAAAAGAAAAAAAAAAAGAGAAAGAATGGCTCGTCTGAGCTTCGTCATCATCCATGTCCTCCTATCCCTCGCCGCGTCGGCCGCCGCCGTGCCCGATGACGAACGGCAACTGTCCGGGACCGACTGCTCCGCCATCCGGGCCCCGGCCGCCCTGACCTGGCTCCTGCAGGACCAACCCTTTGAGCGGGAGGACCCGTCCGCCTTCTTCTACGTCAACCAGGATATTGACGCCTCTGGTAAGGACTCTCACACACACAAATCCTCGGCAGCCTTCCCTGCCTTTTTCCTCCCATCCCCATCCCTCTCTCCTCTTTCACTTTGACAAATGAGATGGATTGCTCAAAAACGTGTTGTAGGAAACAAAGCGAACAGGGTCGCGCAGCTCATCACCTTTCGCGGCGTCCAGGACCGGGAACCGGCCGACTGCAGGCTCCTCTTCGCCATGCCCGACGACGCCGAGAGCTGGGAGCTGATCCAGCACGAGGGCAGCCCCACCATGCGCGTGTTCCGCATACCGGGCGATGACGACGACGCCGTCCAGCAAAAGACGAATCCCCTCGGCGTCTTCCAGGTCCGGCCGGGCACGCAAGCCATCCACCTCGGCCGGTGCGACGGCGGCGGCAGCTTCGTCTTCGAGCTCGCCAACCCCGGGCGCAGCCGCGTCGCGTTCCGCCAGACGTCCAAGCCCGACGACGGCTTCGGCGTCTTCATGGCCACCGGATGCCCCATCCCCAGGAGGGCGATGTCAGAGGACCTCTGAGACAAGAAGGGCAGCCGAAGTACGAGCCGGAAGAAAAGAAAATAGAATCTGGGGAGATTTCGGTTGTCGGTTGTTGTTGCTGTTGTTGTGAATGCTTCTTTTTTTTTTTGGTGTTTGGTGGTTATGTTGGCCGAACTAGGTGGGCATATTCCCCCCACCGGTAAAGAAGAAGAAAAAAAAGGTCGACGACGCCCCAACCCACTCAGAATACCTGCCCTGCGTGAGCCGTGCTCATGTGGTGTAGCAGCTGCGGCGCGTCGCGGCCGTGGTGGTGGCGGCTCGGCGTCGGTGCGAGCTCCATGACCAGCGGCACCAGGAGGAAGTTATCCAGCTCCCTGCTGGCCGTGGTGTGGGGGCACCTCCGCTCGCCGACGGCCGCGCGGTGGCTATGGAACGAGCATTGCCTGAAACCAAACTGCCTCTCCTCGTTGCGGAGCTTGTTGGCCGGGATCCGCAGCTGCGGGTTCTTGATGCGCGTGTCGAGCTTGCTCGACTTCATCTTGCGCAGGTGCGACGTGTACTCGGCGGCGAAGTCGGGGAACCTCTCAAACATCTCTCGGAACCGCTCGAGCCCGCCCTCCTCCCTCATCGACGAGGGGCCCCCAGCGATGGACCAGGCGACCATGGCCACCGTCCACCGCCGGAGCCGAATCGACGTCTCGGCGTCGCACTGCTCGTACACGAACTGAACGAACCGCGGCGTGACGTCCCAGTCGCAGCGCAGGTAAATGTCCTGCAGCCCGTCCATGGCCAAGTCCTGCAGGTGGTGCATGCCGAGTTCGGCGGCGAAGATATGGAGGCGGACTAGCGCCCAGTGCAAACGCTGGGAGGGAACACCCGGGGCGTCGCTGACGAGGGTGATCTTGTCGTCGAGGTGTCGTCGGAACCCGTCGGGTTGGTGGAGCCAGACGACGAAGAGCTCGAACATGGAGGCCGACTCGTCCGGGAGGTGGATGGTCGACTTTTGCTGCGGCAGCCATACGGGCACCGGCGACTGGTTGGACGATACCTTGACGAGGCCGGCCGGTTTGGCGTCCAGCTTGTTCTCGAAGAAGGGGGCGGCGTTGCTGAGTTTCTGCTTGTCGACCCGAAACTCCTTCGTCCTCTCTCCGCGGCCGACGATCACACGAGCAAGGTCGTCATTGTCGGGTGATGATCTGAAATGGTCAGGCCTCGTCCAGACTGTGTTTTTTCAGAAGGGAACTTACACGGTAGATCCCGAAGGCTTGTGGAAGATGGCCTGTGGTCTAGCCATGGGAGCCATTGTGAAAATAGTGTGTGTTCCAGCACGTGGGTATATGAGCCAGCTCTGTTGTTTACGGAATAAAGCAGATATTAGTCACACCAAGAGAACCCCGGATCCAAGGATACCGAAGAAGAAGAATAAAAAAAATATCACAGACGAAAGGGCCGTCGAGCGCGTTTACTGCAAATCACTCTCCCAGAGAGCTTGAGAAAGGGAAGAAAGGGGGAGGGTCAGAACCAGCCCGAAAGGGAACCAGAGGAGGCTTCCCATTATGAATTGCTTCAAGCCCCCCCCGTAGTGCGACTCCAGCAGGGCAGAGCTGCGGCGGGCATGGGGGGTGCCCAATGTACGCCGCTAACACGAAGTCCCCAATGCTGTATGCCAAGCACAGTAGGTGAATAAGCTTATACGGGACACGAGATGTTAAGCCAGTTTCAGAAATGAGGGTAATGATGCACGCCTATGCATGGTACCAGCCCGGGGGAAGGGGCTTTGCTGGGGCTTGTCGGGAGTTGCTGGGACTGTTTACTGTGGGCATCGTCAGCTTAACAGACGGCTGCTATGGGGGACAACGATTCACGTCGTCAAAGGCGAGATGATGTCGCTTGGGGGTGGGCAGGGGTGGTGGTTTCAAAACATCATGTCAAACGCACTGAGTGCAGTGGTGTGGGAATCGTGCCGCGCGACGAGCTCCTCAACACCTCAGGTACCAGGGGTTGTTGGCTGCGATATTGCGGGCCATGGGTCGTAGCAGAAGCTTGGGAGCTGCTTAAATGTGGCTGATATAGGGCAGGGGTACCAGCTGCGCGGGTGTACTTCGTAGTGTATTCGTACCAATTCCTGATGATCCCGATGGCTGGGCCCTGCCAGGAGAGGCCTTGCCTATGCAGCGATCTACTGCTTCGCCGAGGCCCAGAGTCGCAATCGATGGTTGAGCGAGATGTCTGTTCCTCTTTTTTTCTGGGAAGCCAATTCGGCGCGTACCGGGCATTCTGGCACCCCACACACAGCGACTCGAACCACGGTATGCTACCGGTAATCTCCTATTTTAAGTGACGTTATTGAAAAAAAAGAAAAAACCCCCACGGTCAATGGGGTTCCGACTAGCCGAGCACGTTGTGCGGAAACAAGAGGGAGGTGTCTTGGTTGGGGATCGTCGTTCCCCGCCGTCAGTTTGCGACACATGGAGACAAGCTAAGGAACGCTGCGGTAACACGATGTTTGGGGGTGCCACAGCTCCGGGTTATATCTCGGGGGAAGTCGCACTGGCGGGCCCCTCGTCATCGAGGTTGTCCTTTGACTTTCCCGGCATCGACGAGTGATCATATGGCTGACGATGCGACGGGGAAAAGGTCATTGTAAATGGTGGTGTCTTGATGCTCAAAGCCCAATGCTCGACACTCAATGTTCGACACCCGATGCCCGATGTTCAGTGCTCGGCGCCCAGCAGCATTGGCTGCCACCCTCCAACGCGTTGAGAGCTCGACGGCTGCGCCGCCGCGTTGTCTGTCGCGCGACGTTGCGTTCCGTCTGATGATGCTTGGATCGTCGGGGCAGTGCAGTGTAGCCCGCTTGGAAAATCCCGAAGCTCGGCGGGATGAAAGACGGGATGTTAAGGGCTAGGGAGCTATATCGCCATGTCGCGACCATGTTCAGTCGGGTTTCAACCGTCAAGTCGATGGGGAGGGGAGCTGGAAGTTGGCGAGGTGGTAGGAAAAAGTGAAGGCCCGTATGCGTGTACGTATTCGAAGCTGCGCACTCGGAGACTTGAAACCGGGGCCTCGACTGGTCGGGTGTCCCGAAAGAATAGAAGATAAAATATAAAAAGAAGAAGTCTAAAACGGCGCTGGAGAGGCGGGGCTCAGGATGATGCACGCACGGGGCGTCCGGTGGTCATTCCTTTTCACAGAGCCCATGGTCCTTCTCCACCTGCAATATCGGTGCCTGCTGGCTCCGATGTACGGTGATGGAGATTGGCAAGTGGTGGAGTTGTTGTTATTGGAGCCTTGTGAGGGGAAAACTTGAGCTTCGAGAAACGAGACCCATTTCAAGGGAAAGAACCGGGGAGCGAAGGGGGGCGGGGCCCTTCTTCGCTGATTCTGCGCGCATTTTGCCTTTTTTTCATGCTTCAGCATGAATGGCAATAACGCTTGCCCCATCTCCCATTGATCCAGACCCAGGTTATGACGGGCCCGGGCTCTGGGCTGTGGGACATCTTCCAGTCATCACGCCCACGACTGCCCCAGAAACCAAAAAATACCGCCCTGCTTCGGTTCGTGTTGTATTATCACGCAAGGGGGGGGGCACCGACGGTGATGTTGAAAACAGTTTGACGTCGAGAAACTTCCGCAACGATGAATCGAGCGACGCGCAGTGTTCGAGACCGTCATGGTGCGATCCGTCAGGAGGTACCAAGACAGAGCAATGAGCGGTGACAACTGGCGGATAGGGCCATGATTGGGTATCGTCGATGAGGAAATCAGGGAGAAGGCTGCACGGGAGGCTTGGAGATGGCCCTCCTCAGGATGCTCTCTCTGGTTGCAATCCCATCATCGCCTCGGCTGAACGACACGATGTCATCGTCTCCAATTAGGGAGGCAAGAAGAGTGTGAGAAGGGTAAGACATTGCTGACCGCTATAGTCGGCGGCGGCGGCGGCGGCAGCAGCAGCAGTATCGCAACACAACATGGATCATTTCCTCAACAAAGCGTGACCATTGTGACAACTCAGACAGGCTAGCAAAACGGCGGAGGAGGGGTGTCGTTGAGCTCGACAACGTGCTCGAGTAAGGGAGGTGATCGGCAAGTGAGATACAGTTGGTTAGCTCTGGATAACGCCCCTGATTCGGATGGCTTGCTGCAAAAAATATTGGTCAGAAACCCTTCTTACGTGGGAGGTGAGGTACTTGGAGTTTCCCTTAGTAGAACTCTCTCTACTATCATCTACCGCGTACCTACCTAGATAAGAATAACATTCTGTTTAACATACAACAGGACCGAAACCTAGGCAACTTCTCTTTTCCTGCGCAGTAGTTATACAAAGCCTCATAGGGTTCTAATGATAATGGCTACAAGATAATCGTTATCCAAGTTCAGCACATTTTCGGTAGCTCTCAATTGGAAGACGGCGGTACATGAGTCAGCTAGGCTTATAATCACCTATTTGCGCTGATCGAAAGAAAGGTCACGTGGTATGCAGGTTCCAAGTTGTCGCCTTACCTACCTACCTATTCGGGAGACCACCCCAATTGAATACGTACGATGTATCTCAGTACAATCAAGTTGCCCCTCCCCAAGTGCACGGACGACGGCGACGACGACGAGCCCCAGGTAGAATCAATATTTTCAATCTCGACGTAGAGGATGGTTGAGAGAGGCAGCAACGATCCGGACAAGTTCTAGTTACCTGGTACCTGAGGCCCATGGAATTTCATCTTGACTCGGACGACGATGCCAAAGAACTTGAGGGAGAAACAGAGAAAGAAAAAAGAAAGAAAAAAAAAACCCATAGAAAGACAGAAAGGGTAAAAGAGAGGAAAGCGCGTTCCCCCACCGCGCACACCGCCCTTCCATATCAAGGCAGGCTGTCCCCTGCGTTCCTGACGCTCTGTGAGCCAATGGGAAGCTGACTTCCCCTCCGTGCTATGTTCGCGCTCCCGTCTATAGTTTGACTTTTATTCTTTATTTATTTTTTTGTACGCGATATGGTCAGTGATTATGCTGACTTCTCACCAATCCCATCTGAAGGCATCCCTCGGACCTCCCTTACCGAGGTGGGTAGGTGCAAGAATCACCTTCTCATGCGAGGGGGATACTTTTGCTGTCTCTGCTTCTGGGCCAAGCAGGCAAGGCAGCCTGTTATCCTCAGGCACAGACAGACACAAATGCAGTGACAAGGCGTTAGAGGCAATGGTACGTACGCAACGGAGGGGGACAGTGGCTCCTGTTCAGCTTGTAGACAACTAACTGGCTACCCACCTAGGTACCCGGAGTAACCGCAAAGAGGGCCAACAACTAAGGACAATGGGCGGCTGTCAAGATTACGCCGGGTACTCGCTCGTAGCTCCTTTTTCTTAATGATGCATCGTCCGTCGTGGAAAGGTACCCCGCCATATCAAGGGCCCAGCATGAATGTGGATCCCTTGGGCAAACGTTGTCCCCAATCGAGTCTCCGGCTTCACGCCACCCCGCTACATTCTCAGGGCATGTCAAAGGGCGGGCAGTACGTATTATCTCGAGGGCAATCTTGCGACAACCCCTCCTTCCCTTCTGATCCCATGTATCCGTAGATACCGTACGGCACCCCACCTTGGCGCTAGCTTCGCGGCGCGTGCTGCGCGCTGCATAGCTGTGTGGTGGTGCATGTTTCTGGTGGGAAAAAATGATTCTCGCCTCGCTTTGGTGTCTATCCGTATTCTACATCGTTTGCCCCCTCCCCCGCCAGGTTGGCACATGCCATGGAGAGGGGCATGTGAGGGATGGATACCAAAAGTCCCCGTGTAAAGATATGTTTGCTTGGTCAACTAGTGGCGCGTACCGCGTAGACTGCCTATGTCTTTCTGTAGGGGTCCTGTGCGTTGGGTTACGGTGGGAAGAGGGAGAGGATCCGCAAGAGACCGACTTCGCTCTCAATTGATTCTGGAACCGGGCCCGGTCCTTCAACCTCCAGCCACTGAGAAGAGCTCCTGTCCTCCACGCTCCCCATGCTGCTCCCCTTCGCACGCAATTCCCAAAGTCACTGACCGACTCGGCCACCACCTGGTAGAGTTTTTTTTCCCTCTCTTTCTCCTCCCTCTCGCTCTATCCGGCATGCGGTGCCTGTCCGTCCAACCGAACAACTACTTTTAATAAACCCTCCACCGCCGCCCTCTTCCCTCCTCCTTCCTTCCTTCTTCCTCCTTCTCAACCGCCCTGTGTTCCAAACTCTTTTTCTCTTACTTTGCTATTTTTCGGCGGGGCAATTTCACCAGACGCACATTTCAATCATCACCTTTGAGTACTTTGCACAGACAGGCAGCAGCATTCAAGATGGTTCAGTCTTCGGTCCTTGGTTTCCCCCGCATGGGTGTGAACCGTGACCTCAAGAAGGCCAATGAGGCTTACTGGGCGGGCAAGCTCTCTCGCGAGGAGCTCCTCGCTGAGGGCAAGAGACTCCGTCTCGCCCACTGGAAGATCCAGAAGGATGCCGGTGTCGACATCATCCCCTCCAACGACTTTGCCTACTACGACCAGGTCCTTGACCACATCCAGCTCTTCAACGTATGTCATCGATTCGGGGAACCGCATCTGCCCGTTTTCCCTCCATTTCTCGGGATCATAAGCTTACGAAACATCTAGGCCACCCCCCCGCGTTATGCCGAGACCAAGCTCGAGCCCATTGATGAGTACTTCGCCATGGGCCGTGGCCACCAGAAGGATGGCATCGATGTCCCGTCTCTCGTAAGCCCCGCCCCCACTATAAAAAAAATTACCCCTCCCATTGAAAGTAAAAAAAAAAAAAGAAGCTTGGGCCAGGTACTGACAGGGATCCGTAATAGGAAATGGTCAAGTGGTTCGACTCCAACTACCACTACGTCAAGCCTACCTTCCAGGATGGCCAGACCTTCAAGCTCGCCTCCGACCCCAAGCCCGTTCGTGAGTTCAACGAGGCCAAGGCCGCCGGCATCGTCACCCGCCCCGTCCTCCTGGGCCCCGTCTCTTTCCTCCACCTCGGCAAGCCCGACCGTGGCCAGTCCGTGGACCCCATCTCCCTCCTCAGCAAGCTCGTCCCCGTCTACGTCGAGCTCCTGAAGCAGCTCAAGGCTGCCGGTGCCGAGACCGTCCAGATCGATGAGCCCATCCTGGTCTTCGACCTCCCCCAGAAGTCCAAGGACGCCTTCAAGCCCGCCTACGAGCAGCTTGTCGGCGCTGGCCTCCCCAACCTGGTTCTGGCCACTTACTTCGGCGACATCGTCCACAACTTCGATGTCCTCCCCGCCATCAGCAATGTCTACGGTCTCCACGTCGACCTTGTCCGCAACCCCGAGCAGCTCGGCCCTGTTCTTGAGAAGCTCGGCCCCAAGCAGGTCCTCTCCGCCGGTGTCGTCGACGGCCGCAACATCTGGAAGACCAACTTCCAGCGCGCCATTGACACCGTCAAGCAGGCCATTGCCAAGGTCGGCGAGAGCCGTGTCATCGTTGCCACCTCCAGCTCCCTCCTCCACACCCCTCACACTCTGGCCTCGGAGAAGAAGCTCCCCGAGGAGGTCTACCGCTGGTTCTCGTTCGCCTCCGAGAAGGCTGTCGAGGTTGCCACCATTGCCAAGGCCATCACCGATGCCGCCTCCGTCCAGGCCCAGCTCGACGAGAACGCCAAGGACATCCAGTCCCGCGCCACCTCGGCCCGCACCAACGACCCCAACGTCAAGAAGCGTCAGTCCGAGGTCACCCCTGAGATGCACAACCGCAAGTCCGAGTTCCCCAAGCGTATTGAGGCCCAGAAGGCCCACCTGAAGCTCCCCCTCTTCCCCACCACCACCATCGGCTCCTTCCCCCAGACCAAGGAGATCCGCATCCAGCGCAACAAGTTCACCAAGGGCGAGATCACTGCCCAGGAGTACGAGAAGTTCCTCGAGAAGGAGATGGACGAGGTCATCGCCATCCAGAACGAGCTTGACCTGGACGTCCTCGTCCACGGAGAGCCCGAGCGTAACGACATGGTCCAGTACTTTGGCGAGCGCATGGACGGCTACGTCTTCACCACCCACGCCTGGGTCCAGTCTTACGGCTCGCGCTGCGTCCGTCCTCCCATCATTGTCGGTGACATCTCTCGCCGCAACAACGAGCCCATGACGGTCAAGGAGTCCAAGTACGCCGCTGCTCACTCCCAGCGCACCATGAAGGGCATGCTTACCGGCCCCATCACCTGCTTGCGCTGGTCTTTCCCCCGTGACGACGTCCACCAGTCCGTCCAGGCCCAGCAGCTTGCTCTGGCCCTCCGCGACGAGGTCGTCGACCTCGAGGCCGCCGGCATCTACTGCATCCAGGTCGATGAGCCTGCCCTGCGTGAGGGTCTCCCCCTCCGCTCCGGCAAGGAGCGCGAGGCCTACCTCACCTGGGCCGTCGACTCGTTCAAGCTGTCGACTGCCGCCGTTCAGGACTCGACCCAGATCCACTCTCACTTCTGCTACTCCGAGTTCCAGGACTTCTTCCACGCCATCGCCGCGCTGGATGCCGACGTCCTGTCCATCGAGAACAGCAAGTCTGACGCCAAGCTCCTCCGTGTCTTTGAGGAGAAGGCCTACCCCCGCCACATCGGCCCTGGTGTCTACGACATCCACTCCCCTCGTGTCCCGTCCGAGGAGGAGATCAAGGCCCGCATCGAGGAGATGCTCAACAACGGTCTTCGCCCCGAGCAGCTCTGGATCAACCCCGACTGCGGTCTCAAGACCCGCCAGTGGCCCGAGACCAAGGCTGCGCTGACCAACATGGTCAACGCCGCCAAGTTCTTCCGCCAGAAGTACGCCAACCAGGCTTAAGCGGGAGGGTGCGGTGTATACGAGTGTGATTTAGGTGTTGGGATGGGAACGATGGTCTATTCAACAGACATGACGTGGCAATACCCGCGGGAATAACCGGAAAATCAGGGGAGGGTTTCGGACACATTCAACATAGGCGTTCTTTTTTCAACATTGGCGTTTTGCAAGCGGGTTTGGGACTCGGGGAAAAACAAGTATGGCATTCAACGCCGCTTTTACAGGGAATGGGTCCTGGACTGATAGACTCGAAAAAGAGCCCCTTAACGGGCCGGAGGTCTCATGGGATGATGTAGTATGTTCATGAATACATGAAATTCACAAGGTTCAATCATAGTTGTCTCTGTCGGTTTCCATGTGCATTCCTTGTCGAGTCCGGAGTACGGTAGTGCGGAAGTGTTGTTTCAGTCTCTCGTATAGGGACGTTGATCTGTGTCCAGGTATGGACATAACAATCCCTTGTTGGTGAGACACGCATGGTCAAGTTTGGTCGCATGTTGGTACGACGGTAGCATCTCGTCAAAGTGGCCCCTCCCCGGGCAGTGGTCGAGCATGGAGATCCGGAAGACTTCGAGAAGCAGGATAGAGAAAAAAAAAAGAACCCCTTCATTAACAGGAAACAGAGTTGGGTGCGACATTCAAGGGTGAGCGAGTACCTAGGTACCTAAGCGAGGAGGGGAAAGAGGCCCGGTTGCCGAGTCGGCGCCATGAGGGAATGACGCGACTTGGGGGCCCCGCTCCGGCCTAGGTAGATAGGTGGGTAGCACGGCACGGTAGTTTAGGCTGCCGCCCATCTGGTCGTCTACAATTAATCAGCAGGCACTCGAAGGAAAGCGGCCTCGGCAAGAGTGCGTTGGATGCGGTATTTCGTCCTGTTAGAAGGTGCGATGGAGAGACTCTTTGGCCCGAGCTGATAAATCCGGTTTCCTTGCACGACTTGACATACTTTCCTACAAGTACAAACACCTAGATAGGTAGGGTAATTCCAATACCAGCAAAGCAGACCGACCTGTCATCAGGACGGCGCACTTGACAAATCGGTAAAAGGCCCCAGAGACACCTTGATCCGGAATATACATCCCGGCGTTGGTCTCTCGCAACCCTTGCAGAACAAAACCTCCCTCCATCTTCAGTCTCCTCCCCCAGGTCTTTGTGTCACCGTCGCCAACTCGAAACAACTAGTCAGAACAACACCCCTTTCACGTGGATTCTCAACACAGGTAGCACAACACTATTACGCACGCAGACTTCTCCCAGTGTCTCGCCCACTCCCTTTCCCAACACGATGACCAACGGCGCCGCCACCAAGACCGCCTCAGGCGTGTCGTTTTGGACCCCTGCCCAGGAGCCCCCTGCCGGCACCCCCGTCGACGCCTCATCCGCGCCGACGCTCTTCCAGCCCCTTACGATCCGCGACGTCACCATCAACAACCGCATCTGGGTCTCTCCCATGTGCCAGTACTCGGCCGAGGACGGCCACCTGACGGACTACCACCTGGTGCACCTAGGCCAGTTCGCGCTGCACGGCGCCGCGCTAACCATCATCGAGGCCACGGCTGTCGAGCCGCGGGGCCGCATCTCGCCCCAGGATGTCGGTCTGTGGAAGGACTCCCAGGCCGTGTCGCTGAAGCGGGTGGTGGACTTCATCCACTCACAGAACCAGGCCGTGGGCATCCAGCTTGCCCATGCGGGGAGGAAGGCGAGCAACGTGGCGCCGTGGATCAGGGAGAGGCACGGCAAGTGGCTCGCGCATGAGAGCGAGGGCGGGTGGCCCGACGACTGTGTTGCGCCGAGCGCCATCCCCTACGCCGAGAACTGGGCCACGCCGCGAGAGCTGACCGTCGAGGAGATCCAGGGGCTCGTAAAGAGCTTTGCCGACGCGGCCAAGAGAGCGGTTGAGGCTGGCGTCGATCTAATTGAGATTCACGGCGCTCACGGGTACTTGCTCACCGAGTTCCTGTCCCCTCTGACCAACGTAAGCCATCCCCCCACAAATGTTGTCTCGGAGCAGCGACTGACACTACCCCAGAAACGTACGGACCAGTACGGCGGCAGCTTCGAGAACCGTACGCGTTTTCTTTTCGAGACCCTCAAGGCAGTGCGCGACGTCATTCCATCCGGCATGCCGCTCTTCCTCCGCATCTCGGCGACAGAGTGGATGGAGTACGCCGGCAACCCCTCTTGGACGATCGAGGACTCGATCAAACTCGCCAAGCTCTTGCCGGAAGCCGGCGTCGACCTGCTGGACGTCTCTTCCGGTGGCAACAACGAGGCGGCTAAGATCGAGATCAGTCCGTACTATCAGGTCAGCCTCGCGGGCCGCATCCGCGCGGCGCTGGAGGCCGATGGGAAGAAGCTGCTCATCGGCGCCGTGGGCATGATCAGCAGCGGCGAGATGGCGCGGAGCATCGTCCAAGCAAAGAGGGCGAAGGAGCACGCGCAGGCCAACGGGCAGAACGGGGCCGATCAGGGGAACGTGGCGACGCTGGAGGTGGACGAGGAGCACGGGCAGGTGACGCAAGCGGACGCGGTGCTCGTTGCTAGGCAGTTCCTGCGGGAGCCAAACTTTGTATACAAGATCGCGGACGAGATCGGGGTGAACGTCAAGTGGGCAAACCAGTACGAGCGGGCGCCTCTAGTGAAGCGTTGACTGCTTGGTCGGAAGAAGGGCAGCCTAGAGCTTTGATAAAGGAGTGGCAGACTTAGACTCAACATCATGGACACAGCATAGAGCTAGACGGGGTGGACGTAGAGCTCAATTCTAGATATCTACTTGCCGTCAGACAAAAATGGGTTACAGTTCTTTTTTGCTGTTTTCTTTTGCGCGAATACCTGGGGTTTGGTGCTGCCGTCGTCCTACAGCCGTATATTCTAGTGAATCTAACTCAGGGTCAAAACCAACATACTGTTATAGGCTGCAAACAAGACAAGCCTTCCTTCACCCCATTATACCACGCATACACGCATACTCACATCGCGTGATTAGATTCCGCACTTGGACGCAACCCTGCGCGGCCGGAGGCTGGCGGCGTGGGCTTTCAAATGGCTCGACTGGAAACGGAACCGGGATGGATACGGGGTACTGAGCTTAAGGGCCGAGGCCGAAGTCTGCCACCCCGAGCTGTCTCTGACGGAATCCGACTTCAACATGGAAACTTCTCGGCACTGGAACGTCGGCCCCCATATGAAAAATACTGCACCAAAGCGCCCGCTTACTGGCGTGAATCAAATGGGTTGGGTATATCTACGGTGACGCTGTGAATTGGAAAAAGGAGTGGTCCTTACTTGTTCTACTTGTTCATCACTATTTATGCGCGGGAAGGCGATGGTGGTTATGAGATGGCTCAACACATTCGGTGTCGTCGGACCTCTGCAAGTGGCTCTTTCTCCTCTCCTATCCTACATATCGGACAAACTCTTGCGAGGAGCGATGTTGCAGACTTTCACAATGGCCAGGCTTAAAAGTCAGGCAGTATCGTGCCAATCTTATGCTTCCCCGCCAGCTCGAGAATGGCCTTGCCCAAAGAAAGGTCCATGATGCCGATTCCGACGCTCTTGTAAACGATCAACCCGTTTTCAAGCCAGTCCCGCAGGAGCTTCGCCTCGGCTTCGTCCGCCTTACGAAGCTTATCAGCCAGCTCTCCGACTTCGGTGATCTTCTCCGCGGGGATCTCGGCCTCCACCAGCTCTCCGGCTTCCAAAAAGCACGCCTCGCGGCTGTCCACGAAGATGACGCCGTCCCTGCCGCCGTGGACAGAACTGAAAGCCCCCAGAGGGGTGTCTATAACAGCGCGGAGGAAGGCGGGGTCGATCTCCTTCATGTTGAGCTTGTAAGACCCGATGGCGGCGATGTACCGGCTCTTGGCCGAGGCGTGCCCGGAAGTCAGCCACTCGGCGGGGAACAGGCTTTGTGTCGACGGCGTCGTGCAGAAGATGACGTCGCTCTCCTCGACAGCGGAGCGGAGGGGGGCGTTGCCCGGAGCGCTGTCAGGGGTCGCCTCGATGACGGTGAACGCGACCTTATCGGTGCCTCCCACGCCGCTGGCCTCTCCCATGGCCCTGAGCCGCTCCACGAGCTTGGAAGCGCGCTGTTCCGAGCGATTGACAATGGTGATGCGTGCGACGTCGCCGCCCCGCAGAACGAGGGCGAGCCGGAGATGCCACAGGGCCTGCTTCCCCGCGCCGAAGACGACGATGTTCCCGGTCCGCTTCCGGTACCGGTACAGCAGGATGGAGCCGAGAGAGGTCCGGAAGGCCGTGAGCTCCTCCGCATTGATGACGCCGACCGCCTTACCGGTGCCGTCGCAGACGGTGAGGACGCAGCGGAGATCGGTAGATCCGGAAGACGGGGGCGGGAGGCCGACGATCTTGACGGACATGCCGCCCTCCATCGTCGCCGGCATGAAGAGGCCGGTCTGGCCGTTGGGCCGGACCACGGCGGCGCGGTGAGGCTGGTACTGTGCCTCCTGCCCGACCGAGTACGACAGGAACGCGTCGGTGAGGACGTCGGACATGAGGGCGACGTCTTCGGGGCCGAAACCCTGGAAGAGCTGCTTCACGTTCCCGTCCGACAAGACCGTGAAAGCCATGGTGGGGTGGGTTAGAGGGCCGACAGAGTACGGGCCTTGAGTAGGGAGACCGATTCTTCCGACTTTTGCGAGCTTTATCGAGCGGCTAGAAGATGGCAGTAAAGGACTGGGTTACGGTGGGAGCCAGCGAATGTCGAAAGTGTACGAGGACGGCGCGCGTGCGGAGATAAGCCGGAGGGCGCCTCTTCGAGGGATTTGCGTTGTGGAGATGGCCCGATCGGGCCCCGATCTCGGACGCCTCGCCTCGGAGCGGCGTGCCCTCGGGATGGGTCTGCCGGGTTGACTGACTGACTGCACAGGGCGGCGAATGCCCGGATGGAAGTGGTCTTTTGTGCTACAGGAACCGGGGTTTTCCGAGGTTATGCCCCCGGAATTTTGTGTTCGTTTTCGCCATTGAATGTGGCTTTATTCCTGCTTGTTTGATTGACTGTTGATAATAGTCTTGGGTACCATCAAGCCAGTCATGTCATGTACGACGTCACAAGCCATTTCAGACCACCAAGATACGCGGCGAGGGCTTAGATGGCGTTGCAATAGTCCTCCAAGCTTGTGTTGATCTAATCACATCGATTGCATGATTAAGTAGGTAGGTAGGTAGTATCGTTGCCGTTCCAGCGCCGGAGCTAATGCACGACTGGCGATTCCAGTCTTGACCAATCCCATCATCCCTCCCCCTCTCTCCTTCCCATGATTTGCCTTGGGAGGGTATAGCGTTACGGGCGGGCCCGCAGCTTTTAACGACGCAATTACTGAATAAAGGAAGATCAGAATTGGGGGTTTGATGCGAGGCCCCAGAGGGTCGCACCCGATTCCAACCGAGGGCCAATCGGACAGTCTGAATCTCCATGATACTGATGGCCTGGGGTGCGATATGGCCTCCCGGAGAGTATGGATGCCCGATATGCTTGAAAGGCACGTGGCTCTTCTCGCTTTCGCGCCTCGACGCTCGTGTCATTTCGTCATATGTTTAGGAGATGAGAGGCCCATCTTGGGCCAGACCAACGGTATGCAGCATTGTACCAATACGGCGTGCCAAGAGAACAGTGACATGAGCCGATAAGCTCGGGTGAGAACGAGACGGGAAGCTTGGTGGACAGAAAGGGGCCTCGTTGGCATCGGTGTAGGTCCCAGCCTGCGCGTGCCCAGTGTATCACCAACCCTTCCACACCACCACAGAGCAAGAGGAACTACACCAGAGGCATTCAGTGGTATCTCATAGTGAATCATCCCAAAGCCCCTCACTGACGCATCGGGAGTTTGTAAGTTGTGCCTCAACATCAGGAGCATACCCTCACCCCCCATTCCCAAAATCAACAACGACCGACCAGCGCCGCTGGACGGCGGCGGACTTTTGACGGTTTCACGCTGGTCAAACCCCTCCCACCGCCCCCAATTACGACATTCTCCGCATGATGGATCAGCCATGTTACCCGGCCCGTTGCGGGCTTGAGGCAGGCTACTAAGTATTGCTCTCTCTCGGAGACCATAACTGCGGTGTAACATCGGCCGTCGAGCACGGTATGCACGTCGTGCGCCACCCTACTCCCATGCTGCGAGTCGAAGCCCGTCGTCTCCCGGCGATGACAGCTTCAGATACTCCGCAGCAACACGGCGGCCCGCATGAGAGTGGACCACAGAACCCCCCGCGCAGGCGTATAGGTTGTTGAGGTTTTGCGAATATGATGAAGCTTGGCCCCGAGCTGCCGCCCCCTCTGACAAGGGAGCCTGAGCGGCATGATGCATCAGTTCCGGCGGTACGATGCCGGAGGGAAACATCAAGCATACTCAGGCCTCACTCACCCGCCTCGACTGCCGTTACCTGTCAGTCGTCAGACTTTTATTTTTTTTCTCTTCGACAGGAGCCAGCCAGCTTTATCTCTTGTCCAAGTTTCACAACAGGTGTGAATATGATGGCGGGAGAGGGGGTTGATCAGCAAGTAGGGTTGCTCCTGGACGGAGGGCTCGTCGATCATGTCAGGAGGGGGGGATGATGCGCGGTGGACCGTACTCGTCCGCTGTGTGAGTGGCATCTTCGGATCTGCAATATCGAGCCTCATGACGACTAGCGGGGTGGAGCCGTGGCGGACTTTTACGTTCGGCGGCTTCTCGTTGGCACCGTCTGGGTGAAGTCGGAACCTGCCCACTTGGCCTGTCCAACCGAGACCATACTCTTGCCCATCGACGTTAATGCAAATGGTGCAATGTGTGACGTTGTGACCTGAAGTGGTTTGGAAGGCTATGGCCGCTCTTTCATATCGTGGTCCGGACCAATACCGGGAAACCAACATAAAAGGCTTCAGTAGCCTCCCCCCCCTTTTTGAGTTGTCAGCATGATATCCTGCCTCAGACGTCTTGTTCTATATAAACCGAAAGGAAATTCATGAAGACTATGATCTGAACTGGTTCCATACTGATCTGAATCTCTACGCCTGCACCAAAGACGGCTCACTCACAGAACCCCATTGACAATGGAGGTCCAATTTGGGGGATCGAGGCTTTCGGCCTTCATCCTCTGGCCCTTGGCGACAGTCTCACTAGTAAGGCCTCTCTCCTATGACCTCATACATCATAGTTATCCACGGCCTATCACGTACACTGCTTTATCAAACGTCTAATGGCAACCCATCAGGGCCTCGCCGGCCTTCTGCTCATGATTCTCTACAACGTTACTCTCCATCCCCTCCGCAAGTACCCAGGCCCCAAGCTCTGGGCCGCGACCCGTATCCCCTACGCCCTCATGATCATCCGCGGTGACCCGCACAAGACTATCCTCAACCTCCACCAGCGTTATGACACCGACATCGTTCGCATATCCCCTAACGAGCTCTCCTTCCAGCACCCCGACGCCTGGAAGGATATCATGGGTCACCGCAGTCAGTCCGGGGAGAACGAGAAGGATCCGGACATTGTCGAAGAACGCCGCATCGACATCATCTCGGCCGGCCGCCGTGACCACGCGCGCTACCGCCGCATACTCTCCCACAGCTTCTCCGCCCGCAGTATGCAGGACCAGCAGCCCATCATCCTAACCTACATCGACCTCTTCATGAAACGCCTCCGCAGCGCTGCCGGCCAGGGTCCTGTTGACATGGTGAAGTGGTACAACTCCACCACCTTTGACATCATCGGCGACCTTACCTTTGGTGAGTCCTTCGGCTGCCTTGAAAGCTCCACCAGCTATCACCCCTGGGTCCGAGTCATCTTCGAGAACATCAAGATGTTGTCCCTGATCAACCTTGCCCGCAGCTTCTGGATCCTCGCACCACTGCTTAAGATGCTCGTACCTAGGGACCTCATTGAGAAGGGCAAGTCACACCGCGCCTTTGTCCGCGAGAAGGTCGACCGGCGGATGGCACTTGGCACGCCGCGGCCTGACTTCGCTGAGTCCATGCTGAAGAAGGGCAACGAGGTAAGTAGCTCTGATTCCCTCCTCATATATCAGCTACTCGAGTTCCTTCTGTAATAGTAGAAGAGACAATAACCGACTTGCCTCCTTTTGCAGCCACTAAGCCAAGAAGAGATCTATGAGAACTCCGGCTTGCTCGTCATAGCTGGCTCCGAGACGACAGCCACGGCGCTCTCCGGCGCTACCTACCTCCTGGCCACCAACCCGGACGCCCTGGCCCGGCTCAGCAGCGAAGTCCGCGGCAGCTTTGCGAGCGAAGACGAGATCGACCTCCTGAGCACCGCCAAGCTTGTCTACCTCAACGCTGTCCTCGAGGAAACACTAAGGATGTACCCCCCCGTTCCTACCGCCGTACCCCGGCGGACGCCCCCAGAAGGAGCGGAGATCCTCGGGCGATGGATCCCGGGTAACGTGAGTGCCATTGCGGCCCTCTCGCCCTTGAAAAACAAGACGGGCGTGCTGTTCCGTCACCTCCGACGACTAACGCGCGAAACCGCAGACAACAATAGGCATCGCCCACTGGGCCCTCTACCACAACGAAAGGCTCTTCTCCCGGCCTTTCGGGTTCCACCCGGAGCGCTGGCTCGGCGGCGACCCGGCCTTCGCCGGCGACCGCCTCGACGCCCTCCGACCCTTCCACGTCGGGCCCCGCAACTGCCTCGGCATGAACCTCGCCTACGCCGAGATGCGCGTCATGCTGGCCCGCGTCATCTGGGCGTTCGACCTACGCCTCGACGAGGCGAGCCGCGACTGGACCGACCAGAGCTGCTACATCGTCTGGAGCAAGACGCCGCTCATGATCCACCTGAAGCCGCGGCAGTCGTGACGAGGGAGCTGGGAGTTGGGGTTGGAGGTTGGGGCTGGGATGCGCAAGGGCGAGAGCTTGTGCTCAGGGGTAATTGGCCTCTCATTTTTCAGCGTGTACACTGGCTTGTCATCGCGTCCCCCTGTCTTCACTCAGGCACAGATACGCAGGATATTTCGGACGGATTTTACGTGTGTAGAATATCAGGTTCATGGCATGTGATTCGATGGTGGGTTTATGGTTTCAATAGGATCACCCTCTCTCCCATTCCAGCCCTTCGTCGTTCAACACTACTCCGAGGACGACGGCAGCACTATACGAGAAGTCCAGCGCTGGGGGTCGGTTGATAATTACCAGTGAAGGAGAGACGTCGGGCAGAGCTACGAGAGCGACTAATCATAATGGCCTTCTTCCGCCTTGGACACTCCTGTTCTTCGTATCATCGGGACCTAGACTTGCTGCCAGTTGTCCTGCAGGTATGACTTGGGCGAAACTCGATGTGAAGCTCAGAACGGTAGCCACCTGCCAACTCCACGGATAGGCCACGGCCGCCGTGACGGTAGTCGCGAAGCTGGCGGCCAGAGACGCCCAGAACCAGAATCCTGCGATGGAAAGCTCCAGGTCTTTGTTGAGCACCACGGGGTATACGGTGCAGTAGATGGAGAGGACCTGGAGGAAAAGCTGGCTCAGCAGCACCCAGAACCCGTCGTCGCGGAGGCCTCTCGGCCGCGGGTCGCGGCCCTGGGATATCGTGGTTGCAATCGTGGCCCCGCTGAGCATGAAAAAGATGAAAAAGATGAAAAAGATTGCAAAGATTACTACCAACTCTGTCTGATGAAACATCGGGTTCCATTTGGAGAATCCAATGGGATAATCATGGCCAGGGTCTATACCAGGCATCGATGCTGCCATGGACTGGTCGTTATATCCGCGTAGGTACTCTCGTCCTGTGACGAGTCTAGAACGAGGATGTGCATTTTCGTGCAGCTCGCTTTGAATGAATAGTCAGCTGAAGTCCATCCTTGCTTCACCGTACGAACCGAAGTTTCAATAAGTAACAGCTGTTAGTCGCCTACCTTGGAATGCCGGTTGCTGAAACCGAGAATCCGGAGAGATCCCTCCCAACTGGCTCTTCCGTGAGTGTCCTTTGGTGGGTTGTATTTCAGAAAGTCTTTAGCGTATGCGGCTGCGGCCATTGTTGTGTACCCCTCCCACTGATGGTTGTCACTGGAGTCTGCGTAATGACATATTCCCCTAATGACCAGTTGAGGAACCTGGCCTCTGCCGGCAGTTCCAACATCGAAACACAACACGTCCCTTTCTCCTGCAATTCTGTCTCGAACCGCAGCTCGCTGAGGTGGCTGGCTGGATGAAGCGATCGTGCCGTAACGGACCTTAGGTTCTTCCTTACGGTCCCGATACGGTGGGGTGTATCTTCTGGTGTCTTCTGAATCCGAGGAATTGGCATGGGAGTCATTGGGTGGCCGATTGTTTTGGGGCTCGACGACAACCTGGTTCTTGTTGGGTCTTAGGCGTTTATAAGTATCCAGCAGCTTTAGATGCTGTTAGTTAAATCACATAAGAGGGATATCCCGTAGATCACGTAACAAATTATAATACAGAATATAGTTATTACTTATTATATTAGTTAGTTACAAAGTAAATCTAGACTTTTAGGTAGTATACTAGTAGTAAGGTAAATACTACTAAGAGAGGCAGTATATTACGTAAATATTATATAACTACCTCCTCTAAAGTATACCTACTATATACTAACACTAGTAACTTTTCTTTTATAGTAAAAGTTATTAGTGCCCTAGCTATCTAGATTGCCCTTAAAAGCCTTAAAAACGTAATAAAAATTAAAACTCTAAAAGTATTATACTTCTTATAGTTATATGCTATATATTCCTATATCCTCTATTTTTCCTTATAAATAGTATAGGCTTATACTAACTTATTTAGGGGTATTTCTCCTTAGCTATAGCTATTAGAGGCGTATTCTTATATTAGTTAGATTTAACTACTACTATTATAGTCTAGTTAGTTATATAACTTATAATCTATTTTTTACTATATACTTATTATAATTTATTATGCCTATATAACTTAACTTTTTATATATATTTTAGCTTTATTATTTATAACTAGGCCCTTAAGTGCTTAATTTAAGAATACCTTTATAAATCTATTAGCTAGATTATTAGATTTAGTAATTTATTAGACTTTATAAAGCTTATATTACTTATAAGACTATCTTAGTAGTATAATATTAATTATAAGACGTTTCTCTTTTATAGTTTCTAGCTTAACTAGGTATTTATAAAGTAAATATAAGTCTATATATATAATAGTTAGGATTAATAAGATATTAAGCTTTTTTATAATTATTATAATAGTTATAAAAAGGGCGTAAGCTATATTAATGCCTATAACTATTTTATATACTTTAGATATAAGGACGCTTTAGGTAACTTATTTAGACTTTATAGATAAGAAATAAAGGATATTACTATAGAAGAGAAATTTAGCTTAGTTATTATTAACTTTCTTATTTATAAAGAGGATAATAAATCCTAATTATAAAGTTATATTATAATTATTAGTAAATAATTTATTTATAAATATAAATAGCTTAGCTAATATAAGATCTAAAAGGATAAATTATAGACTATAGTTAAGTAAGCTTATTTACTATTATAGTTAATAGTTAAGGTCTTTAATTACCTTATTATTTAGCTTTTTATATTAGGCTATAATAAAAAGATTATAGTATGCTTTAGGCTAGTAAATAGAGGTAATATATACTCCTTATACCTATTACTAAATAAAATCTTAATAGGCTATAGGTAACTTTATGTTAATTAATTATAGTTTTACTTCTTACTTTTTTTAGTAAAGCGTAATAAAAGTGTTTATAGTAAATATAACTATAATAATCTTATTATTAAAGGTAAGTAGTTAGTTAATAGTAAGAAATAACTTATTTTTTATAGTAAATTTTACTTTAGTTAGTTCTTTATTTTTTTAGTTAGAAAATAAAAAGTTTATTAAGCTAATAATATTATTTATTTATATACTAATAAGTATAAAGTATAGATTTTTACTAGATAATAAAAAAAGGTAGAGGTTATATATAGTAAAGACTATCTAGAGATTCTCCTTATAGTAATAGTTATAAGTAGCCTACTAGTACGTACTTACCTTAGTAATCCTATATAAAGGCTTAATAACCTTTATAATAGTATTATTAAGGTACTTATAATAGATTTAGGCTAGGAGTTTAGTGTAGATAGTATAGTTAAGGTAAGAAGTAGATTAAATATAGGCCTATATAATATTATATAGCTATATAACTTTACTATTAATAAAAAGAGAAAAAGCTAATATAAGGATAAGCTACTAGCTAGCTTACTAAATAGTAAGTAACTAAGTAAGAATAGCCTCCTTACTATTATTAGTGTAGCCTTAAATAATAAGGCGTAATTTCTTATAAGGCTTTTTATTAGTGCCTTTTACCTTATTTATAATTTATAATTTAAAAATTTACTTATATAGCTAAAGTTAGTTAATTATAGTAAATTTAAAGACGCCTTATATAATAAGGCTGTTAATCTTAGTAGCTACTAATTACTTAAATAGCTTACTAGGTGTTATAATAACGCCCTTTTTATATAGTTAGATTATAAGGGTTTAATAAGCTTCTTCTTTTACTAAGAGGAAGATAGTATAAGGTATATTAGTCTCTTATAGTAAAGTATATTTTATAGGGATTTTCCTAGCTTATTAAGGTTATATAATAGTAGGATTATTAGCGTATAGCTACTGCCCTAAACTAGTTATAATAATAATAGTATCTTTAGTAGGCTTATTACTATAACTACTATTATTATTTAAGATAAATAGGGGATATTACTTAGCTAAGCCTCTTTCTTTATTATCTACTATATAGTATAGCTTAACTAATATAGATTAGAAAACATAAGGGCTATTAATATTAATAGTAAAGTCTTTACCTTAAGTAGTAAGTAACTTATATAAGCTAGACTAACCTCTTTTTTTATACTAAATATAGACGTTACTGCCTAAAGGTAGATCCTTTATTATAAAGGTATCTAGGCTATTATAAGTAGTAAGAGCCTTATTAATTTACTATATTATATTATATTTATAAAGATCTTTAGTTACCTTATAAATAGCTATTATATATTAGATTATCTTAGGTAAAAAGGTAAAGTTAGTAGTTATATAGGGGTAAGCGCTAAATACTAATAAAGTAGGTATAAGGCTATTTAGGCTAGTAGTATTATTAACTACTTTAGTAGCGCTTTAAAGTGCTACTTTATAGTTAATAGATAGGTATTTCTTTTAGATTATTTTATATACCTATTAGAGTATAGTATAGTATCTCTTAACCTTCTTAACGCTATAATACGCTTTAATAAGGATAATCTTAACTTTAACGCCTATTATATAGGCTTTATATAAAAATTTAGTTAAGATAAAGTTCTACCTTATATTAGTAATAATTTAATCTAGAGGTCCTTAGTAAATATTAATTTAGTAGTAATATAGTGCCTCTTATATAGTTTTTACTAAAATGTTATAAAGAAAGTAGGCTGTATTAAAGGTAGTAGTAGTATTAATAATATAAAGTATAAGGTTACTATTAAGGTATATAATATTAATAATAACTTTATAATTAAATAAATAGTTATTACTTAAGGTAAATTAGAATTAAGAAGAAGCCTTCTTATAGATCTAGTAATAATAATAGTACTTTATTAAGTGTTTAATTACTTTTATTTTAACCTTATAGCTAGCTTTATAAAGGATTTTATATAGCTAGTAAATTAATAGATAGCTAAACTATTAATAAAGGCAGCGTAGCTTAATATTAGTTAGGTAATAACTTATAAGGCTTTACTTAGGCAGGCTAAGTAGTATCTATAGGTAGCCTTATTTTTATATAACTAGCACTATAAGTTTACCTTATTAAAGAGTATTTATAAGGTTATTAAATTAAATTAATAGCTAATCTATATTAGCTAAGTAGAGTAAAAAAGGTATATTAGTAGGTATTATATAAAAAGTAATATACCTAAAAGGAGTTTTTACTATAATAGTGCCTTATAAAGTAATAGTATTACTATTACTAAACCTAATTTTTACTTTACTTATAGCTATTATATTAATAGTTATAAATAGTTAAATTTATTATAGTATAATAGCTTATAAGTAGCTTATAGTTAAGTAACTTACTACGCCTATATCTAGTAAAATACCTTAAAAAGTAGCTAATAAGTAATAATCTAGTATAAATATACTAAGTAACTTAGTAGAGGTACTATTAAGGTTAATTTTTATTAATTAGTAATAAATAGCTTAGTTAGTAAGGTTAGTAGTAAGTGCGTTACTATTTACTTTAGTGCTACTAAAGAATATAGTTAAGGTGTAAAATATACTATTATCTTATTCTTTATTATTACTAATAATAAAGTAGGCCTTTTAGAAATACTACTAAAAATCCTTATTATTATTACTATTTTTATTTTCTTCTTCTTATAGATAGGTGCTTTTATAGCTAGTAAGAAAAGTGTTATATATAGTTAGTAAGGTATTTTTAATATAATAGTTACTTTTAAATTACTAGTACGCTTTATATCTTTTATTAGTAGTGTGCTTTATTAACTAGTAGCTAGGCTTATAGTAAATATAGCACTTTTTAGTATTATAGCTACTATTATTATTATTACTATTATAAAAATTACTACTACTATAGTTATTACTAAACTATTAATAATAGCCTTAGCCTTAGTAGGTATAGTCTACTTAATATTAATTATTAGGTAATAAAGGTAAGGATTTAGTAAGGTACTAGCTATAGTAAGGGCGCCTTATAGTAGTACTAATAGATAACTATAATTAGCTATATACTTTTTTTAATATTATAGCTAGAGCGTATAAGTAAAGGTTATACTTAGGAACCCTAGAGTAGGTATTTAGTAACTAACTTCTTAACACCTTATTATTTTAGTATAATAAGAGGAGAGCCTATTAGATAAAGGCTAGCTTTAAGATAAGCTCCTTAAGGGCTTAGATCTTAGTTATTATAGGATTATTATATATAACTTAAGGAAGTGTTATTTTTTACTATTTAGATAGGTAAGTCTATATTTATTCTTATATCTTAAAGTAGTTATAAATTTAGTTAACTATCTTATTAAAATTATAAATACTATTACTATAAATATAATTAATATAAAACTAAGATACCTTACCTTTTAATATAATAGAAAAAGTAAGACTAAGTTAGTATTACTTAATCCTAACCTTACTATAGTTATCTTAAAAAATACTTAACTTAAGGTTAAAAATATTATATAACTTACTACTATACTTAGTTTTATTTATTAGTAGCTTTATAAGATTAGTTAGTTAATAAGGGTATAGTTAGGAGGAAGGGATAAGTATAAATTTAGATTTATATAGTAGCTAATATTATAACTTATTATAGCCTTATAATTAAAATCTCTATATAGTGCCTTAAGGTAGGAGGTTAGTAGTAGGCTTAAGGTTATTTAATAAATTAAATAGTATATCCTACTAAGGATTTACCTTATTTATTATAATAAGCTAACTACTTAATTACTTACTATACTAGTTATAATAAAGGTAATAAGGGTAAGGGGTTCTTAGGTTATATAATAAGGTATTAATAAATAAAGTGCCTATATTACCTCTAAGTACTAGGTTTAGATTAGTAAGTGCTTAGTAGATTTTATCTTATTATAAAAGTAAGGTTAGGCTATTTTACTTCTACTTTAGCTAGTAATAATCTACTATTAGTAAATAAGTTAAGGTAAATAAGGTTAGCTACCTTTATAAAGTAGTATTAGCTATTATTTATAATAATATTAAAAAAGTAGTAAATAAGGCCTAATTAATTATTAATCTCTCCTTAGGTAAGATATATTAACTAGTAATATTATTAATAAATTTAGGATTTTTTATTTATAAGTTAAAGATAGGCTGTTTATAGTGCATAAAAGTAATATTTTTTTTAGTCTATATATAGAAATTAGCGTTAAGAAGGTCTACTAATTTAGGTGTAATCCTTCTTTTTACTAGATTAATAAAGACTTTATTATTAATAAGGTAATTATAAAATATTAATAATATCTTAGTACCTATAGTGTTAAAGGTAGTAATAGTTTAATCTATAAAATCTAACTAAAAGGTAGTAAGAAGGTAGTAGCTATAAAGGTTAGCGTTTAACTATATAGTAATTATATATATTATATATAATCTAACTTTATAAGGGTCTAACTTATTAAAATTAAAGTTAATATAGTTACCTTATGTTATTAGATTAATATAGTAAATAAAGGTAAGTAGAAAAAGGAGAGGCTATAAGAGGTAGGATAGTAATAATAGTAATAGTAAAGGATATAAAAGGGAATAAATATTTATTATTTATTAGTTTAATAGCCTTACTATTACTAGTAGTAGCTCTTTATTTTTCCCTTTTTTATTTATTATTAATAAGAATTTAGTTAATATAAAGTAAGGGAGTAAGGAGGTAATAATAATAAAGGTTAAATTTATAGAGGATTATTTACTAATAGGCTAGTTAATCCTCTCTACTCCTAGTAAAATAAACCTTACTAATTTATTTAATAGTAGTAATCTTATAATTTAATTATATACTAATTAGTGTTAGTTAAATTATATAAGAGGGATATCCTATAGATTACGTAATAAATTGTAATATAGAATGTGGTTGTTGCTTGTTGTATTAGTTAGTTATAAAGTGAATCTAGACTTTTAGGTGGTATACTGGTGGTGAGGTGGATACTGCCGAGGGAGGCGGTGTGTCACGTGAATATCACGTGACCACCTCCCCCGAAGCATACCTACCGTATACCAACAGATGCTTTTCGATAGTCTCGCGGATACTCTGATCAAAGCATGTCCCGTTGAAGGCATGATGATTTTCGAGTTGCTCCACCGCCAACTGCAGAGCCGGTACTGGCCGCACGATGTCCCCAATATACATGGGTTCAAAACCATCAGATGCGGAAGTAATGTTGTAGTCAATGATACCGCCAACGGTGGAGGAGGAGCAAGCCCCAACAACAATGTCGCCCAGACGCACGTCGTGTCTCGTGAACGGCACACCGGCGCCAGTACCAACAACTAGGATGGCTGATAGCCTGGGGAATACCTCACTCAGTCGCCTGCACACCAGATCCAGAGAGGTGGTGACGCTGGTGGCGACGGTTTTTCCGTCTCGCAAGCAAACGATGACAACTTTGTGCTCACCGACTGAGCCGAACGTGCAATTGAAGCGGTCGTTGGTCGATAGGAGTCTCCTTTCCGTGTATACATCCTCGAGGAAAGCTTGCGAGGCCAAGTGATCTGTGCTTGTGGTATTACGCCTCCTGTTGGTTCGCTATTCGCACTTGCATGTCGACCGGCCGAAGCGGGATGCGACGTAGCACCAACCAACGGAAGCTGGTGCTCAAGGAACTACGCAAAGTGCTGGGTTGATGACCATGCCGCCATACAGATGATAGCCTGCGGACAAGATGGGGTAAGGAAAGACAAGCAAACTTCACGAAAGACGTCTAACTATCTCAATTACATGATGGTACCCAATCAACTTATACGAGCATCAATTGTGCAACTAGCTGATGAGGGGGGGTTTCATATCCATGCTGGACTTGGTTACAAGACCCTCAAACTTGCTGCCGAGGCTATGCCTTACAGGCCAGCTCTTCCGCCTGTACCGGACCCTGCGTTCGGGCTTACCCGCAACATCGGAGCACGGGCAGTCGGCGTTCTCGGGAGAAATGCAAGGGTTCGGGCCGGAAGAGGATGCGGTGTCAAGTAAACTCGGGCGTCGGAAAGTGTGCCCAACTTTTTTTTCTTTTGCCCTTCCGGAACGTGCGCCGGCCGCTGCCAATGGGGTCAATGACACAATGGGTGGCTGGAGTACCGGGACTTGCCCTGATGCGGACAAGATACGTACCGCTTCTTAGTCGGGAAAGAACACCTCAGCTGAGCCCTCAGCCACGGAGAGCTTTGCTGTAAGTAGCGGCGCAGCATCCACCAGGAATCCACCAGCCCAACCAACCAATGTCGTATTACCGCGTCGCACTCCTCATGGACCTCCGTGGCAGCTGCCGAGCTACCTAATTCTGGGCGATAAGTCCAACTTTCGTTTCGACAAGTTTCTTCGCTCAAGACGTCGTAATCCCGCCAAGAACGACCGGCGAACTACGAACACACACACACACGTACACACACACACCGCGTACGACGTGGCCTCCTTTCATAATATACCCCCATCTAGCGCATAGCTGCTTGTCCCGCGCCAGCTTTCACATCGACTTTTCTCCCTCCGCTCAACAATTTTCGGCAACCTACCTGCAGCTTCATGCAAAACACATCACGCTACTTGACCGATCGCATCGCAAACCACCACCACCACAATCCTCCAAGATGCCCAGCAAGAGGGATCGCAGGGTCTTGAGGACGGATGACGTGGCGAACCTCGAGGACGAAGAGAAGAGAAGATTGCTACAGGTACGGCCCTTTCAACATCCCCATTTCACCCGGCCGTCAGCTGACAGCTCTCCCCCAGGAGTACCTCCCGGACGGACCGCCCGAAGGCGCACAACGCCAATGGCGTGACGACAACATCCCTTCCAAGGGCAGATTTGGCCTGCGACGCGCCCTGCGTACGAAACTGCACCTCACCGTTTACACGATCCTGCACGCCTTCTTCTCCCTGTACATCAGAATACGACAGGCATGGCACCTGGTGTGCTACCACGTATCCTCCATCTTGTTCTATCACCATCGAACCCCTGAATATATCGAGCGCGACGTCGTCGGCCTGAAGCAGAAGCCGAAGCACCTCAGTGTCATTTTGAAGCGTGAAGAGGGCGGCAGACATGGAGCCGAGCTGGAGAGGCTGGTTGCCGAGGCGGCCGAAATTGCCGTCTGGTGTGTGTGCGCCAAGATCCCCGTTTTGACGGTGTACGAGCGAACAGGTAAGCTGTGGCAGCTCAGGAAACACGGGTTTGTCGTTCCTAACACTTTTCTCTAGGTCTCCTGAAGCACTACCTCCCCCATCTCCAGCAGTCCATCATCCAAAAGTCCCGATCCTACTTTGGCAGACACCAGCCGTCCCTCACCGTGGCCATGCCCCACTCCGACGATGTCCTCGAATCGCCCGCCCACGGCGACTTCGTACGCGACGACCCGCGCCATCTCAAGGTCCTCTTTATTTCCGCTGAAGACGGCCGCGACTCCATGGTCGACCTCACGCGAACGTTGACTGAGATGTCCCAGAAGGGTAAGCTCCACCCTGGCGATATCAGCACGGATTTGATCGATGCCGAGTTGTCCGAGGGCATCATGCCGGAGCCCGACTTGCTCATCTCTTTCGGCCCCTATGTCGACCTTGACGGCTACCCGCCCTGGCCCATCCGTCTGACCGAGATCTTCTGCCTGCCCGACAACCAGGGCGTCGGGTATCAGGTCTTCTTGAGAGCGCTAAACAACTTCGCCAAGGCGCAGTTCCGCAAAGGCAAATAAAAGAGGTGTTGACGTTGCGTATACCCTATCAGAGTCTCACGGTTTTCCCTCGAGCTGGTCTTTGGCGGAAGATAACCGCATTTCCCGCATTGTTTTGTCCCACCGATAGACAGGCCCGGTTCCAACGTTATAGTTGTAGTAATTCTCAGTTCCATCCTTCACCATGGCCCGTCTGAACGTGATGTTGATCCGCCCGCCGTCTTCCGCGTTCTTTCCGGTCCGCTTGGGTATCGAATGCAGCCAGTTGGACTGCGTGCGCCCGCGCATGAGAATCATGTCGCCGCTGGCCAGGGGCAGCTTGACCTGTTTTGGTTGCGGCCTGTCCAGGTTCTGGTCATCTGGGGCCACGGGCTTGTGTTTCATCAAGAAGTCCCGTCGCGCACCGAGGGAAAAGGAGGCGATGGCCGGGTCGGGGCCCAGGAACCTCTCGTCGTCGCTGTGAAAGGAGATGCTGTCCGCGCCCGAGGCGTAGTAGTTGACGAGGCAAAAGTTGAACCTGCAGTCCGTCGCGGCCTCGGCCGAGCGACGGAGGTCATCGAGACACTTGGGGATCGGGCGGGGCGGGTACCGCTCGTATCGCTTGTCATCCACCTTGAAGCCGGACTTGGCATCCACGACCGAGCCGTCCTCGTCAAACCGGGCTGTCTCGTCCAGGCCAAAGACTGTGGTGTACCTGTGTGTCCGTCAGCAGATGCTACTGATGGTCACAGATGGCGGCGGCGTACCTCGGCGTCCGGATATGGGTCTTGTACCCGCCCCTGTTGATGTCGTACTCGACGCGATAGAACGGCAACTCGGCACGCAGAAACTCAAAGAGCTTATTGGTCAGGTACAAGGGGATATATGGTTCATAGTAGACCAGGTCGAGATCTGGCTGGTCATTGATCTCCCTTCCCGGACGCGCTGGAAGCGATGAGAGCTCTTTGCTGATACTAGACGGTAGCTCCGAGATCGCCATGGGATAGCTGGCATGGGTAGAGTGTCCGATCTAGTGTAAGAACGAGCCCATGTTAGTGGCCCTTCGCGAGCTCAGATGGGAGGGCAGGGTGTTTGCCCGTACATTCTCGGCCGACTCATCTTCCTTACGCGACTTCTTCGCGGTCGGCGTGAAGAACGCGTCTAGAGTTCGTTTTGTAGACATGACGTGTTTCAAATCTTGAACGGTTGGCGTCTGTCACGTTGTGTAAGTGATGGACAAGCTAGGGCACCATTGAGCACTCGCCACTGGTGAAGGCTAACTTAAACTGATCGGAAGCAATTGCACTATTGAGTTACATTCTCAGTAAGCCCGCGAATAGGAGGCATGAATAACGAGAACAGCTCTGTCGCCCACGAACATAGTTTGTGTCATGATGAGAGTACGAATACCAGTATAGCTCACCCATCCCTTTGGACATGCTTGTCAGCCAATCATCAATGACGCTGACATCATAGAAGCTCCGAAGTCGATCTGTGGCGCCCAGTCCAGCGCAACGGTCGTCCACCCGACAGATGTGGCGCAGCCTTGTCCTTGCGCCACGTTTTGGACCCCTGACCCCGCGCTAAATGGAGTTTTTCCTCAGCCTTGCCCCTCCATGACTGTGCCCGATCATCGACTCTTCAACATGGCGGTAAGTCAAGACCCCTGCACGACTGTCGTACGGGCTTGTGAACGCCACTCTGACGGCTAAAACAGAAACAAGACTCTGATATGATCAACTTGCGCGCTCCTCTCGCCCGCGCGGCCACCATCCTGGACCGGTCGCTTTTCTCCAAGAAGCTGGAGCTTGCTGCCGCCACGGTCAAGGATCCCCGTAACATCTCCAAGTACCGCAAGCAGCTGGAGAAGTCCAAAGAGCTACTAACCCTCGACCGTCTGGACTCTTGCAGGAACGACCCCAAGGCTCCTGGGCTGAAGTGTCTCCTGCTGCGGCCCGATGTGAAAGCTGATGGTATGCTCCCCTGATGCCGGTCACTTGCCGCGGACCTTCGACTAACACTGCACCCAGCGCCGACGACATGGGGGCCCGTATTCCAAGAGGGTGTCAAGGCCGGTGACCTGGACGTCGTACCATACGAGTTGGACCTCGACTATGACTACTGGAGCTACCGTAAGCCTGAGGACCTGAAAACGGGGTAGGGGATGCTGACCGTCGTCACAGTTGATGTTATGACCTCTGTGCTGCCTGAAGAGCTCCATGTAGAGATTCCAGTCGGCTTCAACACAGCTGGCCATGTTGGTAGGTCACGTCTGGCCTTCTCTTGAGACCATTTCCACTGACCGCCATAGCGCACCTCAACCTCAAGGACCAGTATCTCCCATACAAGAAGATCATCGCTGAGGTCATCCTGGACAAGAACCCCAAAATCCGCACTGTAATTAACAAGATAGACGATGTCGGCCACGAGTCCGTGTTTAGGACGTTCGCGTACGAGGTCCTCTGCGGACCCCACGACCTGAATGTTGAGGTCAAGGAGAACGACTGCATCTTCCAGTTCGACTATTCCAAGGTGTACTGGAACAGCAAGCTGGAGCCGGAGCACACCAGACTCATCAGCAAGTTCAAGGCCGGCGAAGTTGTTGCGGATGTTATGGCAGGCATCGGGCCATTTGCTGTCCCTGCGGGAAGGAAAGGCGTTTTCGTCTTTGCCAACGACATGAACCCGGAAAGTTACAAATACCTCAGTGCGGCTGTCGAGAAGAACAAGGTGAGTCCAGGACGAGGTCGAGGGTGATGTACGATCTAACAAGCTAGGTTACGCAATACGTCCGCCCGTACAACATGGACGGCCGCAAGTTCATCCAGGAGGCCGTGCACCAAGTCTACGATGCCTCTAAGCGGGGAGAAGGCGCCGTGATCAAGCCCAAGCAGTCGAGGAGCAAGCCTCAAAACCCGCCCCCCGAGCCGAAGCGCGTCCCGATCCCGCCGACGATCTCGCACTTCGTCATGAACCTGCCTGCTTCCGCATACACGTTTGTAAAGCATTACAAGGGCATCTATCGTGGACACGAGAAGCTCTTTGAGCCGTACACGTCGGCCAAGCTCCCCATGGTCCACGTTCACTGTTTCGCCCTCAAGAGCGACGACGAGGTGCCCCTGAACGACATCCTCGAGCGCATCTACGCCGAGATTGGCGTCAGGCTCAAGCTCGGGGACGCGGACAAGTACGGAGAAGTTGACATCTACAACGTTCGGGACGTGGCCCCCAAGAAACGCATGTACTGCGCCAGCTTCCGTATCCCGCCCGAAGTGGCCTTCGCTGCGGACAGCTGAGCTTGGTCCGTTCCATCTTCGGAAGTGCCATTCCGGAACATGGCCTGGCCGAGCAGCTACGAACGGGCATAGAGATGCAGATGCACCTTTGGTTACACCACCGCTTTGGTGACGCCGAAGTCGCCAAACCCAGTTCCGCTCGTGATATACGGACTACGTCCCGGATCGTGATGTAGGCACGCCCAGTCCCGACCAGAGCGTGCTCCGCTTCGCGAGCGTTTGCCGCCGGTGTACAGACGATCGCCGAGCTCATTTTACTCTCCCAGTCTCGAATGTATACAGTGGGGCTGCGCGTTGCGCCGTTGCGCAGAGGCGGGGCTGGTTGGAACGGATATAAGCCTACTACGGCATCCTGATGGACCCATGACGGACATCTGGCCGCTTCGGTCAGGTACAGAGACAGCAGCGGCTGCAAAGTATGACAAAAGGAATAAACCAGAAGAGTAGGAGAAGCAGCAGATCCCCCTCGTCTCGTCTCAGCGGTCCGGCCAACAAGCCAACTGATGCTCCTCCCAATGGCGTATTCTATAACTGCTTCGACATATATATGCAAATAGCACCTCTTGCATCTTACGTCTGCATATGCGGCTATCTCGTCTTCAAGACGCCCATGGGTGGATTCGGTGGTGGCGCTGAACGCTGGCAGATCTAAAGCATCCACAAAGTATGCAACATGTGATACCAACCCGCTCACCCAATCCAGGGACTGGCGCGTCGTCGTCCAGGCCGAGCCTCCATCTCCCTGACGCCGTGCGACCCCGTCCGCGGCGCCCAGCCGCCCAGTCGAGTGTTGTTGCTGCACCCCCAGTTCCCCGCCCCCGTATCGCCCACACTTCTTCATATCGGATGCTCGGTGTGCCTGCTCGATGCACACACGAAACCGTGTCGCCCATGAATGTACTCTCCCAGCCGCCGCGGTGCTGCACCATGACATGCAGACGATGACGGGGCTTGCCCCAGCCGAGTGGGGCCGGAGAGGGCCTGGAACGCAGGGCCAACCTCCAATATGCTCCCATTGACGGACTCTTGCCCCGCTCTCCGCTATCCACCACTTCAGATACACACACACACACACTCTAGCCTGTCAGACCCGTATGCGGGTACGCGTGTCTGTATCTCTTGTCGAATCTTCGACAACCCGAAGCTCCTCCTCGCCCCATCGTTAGGTTGGGAGGTCTCGTCCGCCAAGCTCATGGTTGGTTCAATCGCGCAGCCATTCATAATGCGGTAGGGGAGGGGAGGAGGAGGCGTTTCGATCGACCCGGGAATTACAAGGTCCCCCTTCCGTCGTCCACATCGACGCGCGAGTTCGGTCATTCCCGCCAGTCCACCGAACCCAAGCACACTTCGCCATGCCGTGCATTTCATCCGTTTTCCATATGTACGTACACCATGCCGGTGGGCTCAACCCACCCGTCAGATCCCCGTCACGGCAGCAGCAGATCCGCGCCCAGCTTCGCTACCACCGCCGCCGCCGCCGATGCCCTGTCAGCCTCCCTCCGTCTCGGGGGAACCACTCTTGGGCTGCATATAACCTACCGCTAGGAGAGCTGACGCCTGTTGTCCCCCGTTTCAAGATTCTTGTCGTCGACATGAGCATGTAGTCATTGATCGCCAAGGGCTTCCCCCTCCCCCGGTATCCGCTCTCGCCCTCGCCCATTCGCGTCTCTTCGGACCATGCACACCCTCCGTCCATCCAACCGTAGAATTTCTCGCCACAACGCCTCTCTGCGAAGCAGGTTGCACCCGGCGGGCCCCCTGATGTTGTATATGTTCGCATGAACATGGATAGGTATGGGGTGGTAATGGGAGACCTGGATGGAAGATACGGTAACATGGAGATGGCAAATGGAAGCTGAGGCCCGGGCAGAAGCGTTCGGCCAGGGCCATGAAGATAGCCATGGCAAAACGCGCGCACCTGCTGCTGCTGCTGCTGCTGCACGTTCTGTGTGCCGACATGGCGGCGACGAACGTCGCACAGCCCCGTAACGCCCAGCCAGCGAAGCGCGAGGGAGCAGCCTCAAACGAGACCCCCCCGACGCGGACCCTCAGCAGCAGGCGTCTCGCGGCTGCTCGCCGGCTCTTGCTCTGCTGTGCCATGCCGTGTCATGCATCGCCATAGGTATCTCTGTCCAACGTGACGGGACACTGTACGACACACCACGCACGCAGCACCTGTCGTTATCAAGGTTCACACGAATACGCGCACGCTGGGACGCCTGCGACATCGACGGCCGCCGGCGCCGTCACGTTGGTATCGCGAAAGCGGGCAGGGTAAGGAAGGGAAAGGGGGGTTTGGATACACGCCCGGCATCATGTATAGGTAAGCGACGTATCAGTGACGGGAGGTATCTCGGGAACCCAAATGATGATGATCCAAGAAACCTCCCTTCCCCTCCCTCAAATCAAGAACAGCAATAAGGACCTGTTGGGCCATGCAAGCCACCCTCACCCCCCCTCTCCCGCTGCAGCAGGCAAGGCGGGTTCCCGGAAGGGTACGTCAGACGCAGTGCAGTGCGGTTTGCGTAGACGGCCGAACCCATCAGGGCTGCTGAAAGGGGGGGCATTTTTGATATCACACCCGTCCGGGTTGCGGTTGATTATCCAAACGCAGTGGCGTTGGGAGACAGCCCACTAGGCTCCACGACCCGGAAGAGAGATACGTGGTATGGAGAAGCAGGGAGGGAGAGAGACGAAGAGCCTCTCGTATCCCAGCATCGATCGATTAGGTATCCCGGAGGGTGTGTGCGGGGGAGCCCCCGGACACTTAACCACCCCCCTAGCGAGCATTTCGACGGCAACCTTGCACGCCGTCCCTCTCCTTCAGTGTATTAGGACGCTCTCCTCTCACGTCAAGAGGGAACGCCTTGTATTGCTAGTACCTTGG